GGATCCAATTCCCATACCAATTGGATCCAATTCACTTACCAATTCAATAACCAATTCCAATAACCAATTGCTTGAAATCAATTGGAATCCAATTGGGTTCAATTGGTTTGAATAGCAAATTCAGACCTTTTCTCAGTTAGACCATGTCAAACCAACCGAGTCCCATTTGAAAAATTCATTTGATGGGGAAAACAAGCTGAAAGCAAACCAATTGGAACCAGTTGCATCCATTTTAAATTTCCAATTGATTGAGGAAAACAAACAGAGAGAAAGCATACCAATTGGAACCATTTGATTCCCATTTGAAATTCCAATTGATTTAGGAAAATAACCAGCAAAGAAAAAAATTATCAAGATGTATTTTGTTTTTTTGAAAAAAATGCCAATTGAAACCAACTGCGTCCCATTTGAAATCTCCAATTCATGGGGGAAAACAAATGGGAGAGAAACCATATACCAACCGAAACCAATTGAGCACCAATTGATTGCCAATTGGAACCAATTCATTCCAATTAAATCCAATTCAAAAATCAATTGGTTTGAATAGGCCATTTTTAGTAGGGATAGCAGTTCTCCTAATAGTCTTGACGGCTGCGCCTGCCAACCAGAGGTAGTAGCCTGCATGAGCCTGTCAAATTTGCATATTTTATGGGAATTGAAAGGTCCATTGGTCAATGGTCACTGACTTGAAGCTAAAAGGTTCTATGATTCAACTAACCAGCAAACTCCTTAAACTTGTCTCCAAAAAATGGTTCAGTCAACTCCTCTTCTGTTACCAGACCATGATCAACAGTTACAATGCAATCCTGATGTTTCAAAAGTAAAAAGGAATAATTAGAAAAAATGTATGTCATAAAAAATTTAAAAACAGAGGACTGGAATAATACATTTTTGAATACTAAGTGTTAATAAACACAGTTGGCTTCGGCAGCGGGTCAATAAAGCCACAGGTTTCAATGTGGCCATTTTTCCAAAATTCCATTTTACTCGTCAATGCCTCCCGGCCGTCAGCCTCAAGTGTTCATGATACAAGGCCCGTCCTGGCTGCGCGCTACCAACTGGAGCCTTTCTATCTAATTTAGTCTTCAGTAAAAGGGGCGGGGAATGTGGGGAGGGAGGGGGGGTTAACAGAGTTTCATGTCAGAGACACAGCCAGCCATACAACCAGTACAGTGCATACCTGGGGCAGGTTCGGATTGTTCTTGTCCTGAACAACTCGCCGGCCATGGCTGCAGATGATCAGAATAAATTTTGCGTAGTTTCCCTTTTTCAGTTTCTCCTTTGTATCCTCCAACACTTTCACAAGTTCAGGTTTGGTCAAATCTTCGTACTTATCAAGGTGGTAGTTCTGGGAGATACTAAATAACTTCTTAATATTCTCCTCGTCTACATTACCACCTGTAAGTGGAGGAAAATAAAATTCACAGTTGTAAAGGCATGAACAAATGGGCAAACAATGTGGAGTCATACACGTCTTTGAAGAAGAGTCCACTTTGACTGAGATCTCAAGTCTCATGATCGGACTCCACCACACTCATGAAACAGTCAGTGTCCAAATATGGTGCTCAGTGTGTGACTTCAGCCCTTTATCTTCAAGCAAACTTGAATTCTCAATTGTGATTGGTCGATTGGTCCATGGTAACAAACAGTGGGATATATAACTGTATTGCACGGTTCATATCACACCCCCCATGTAATGAGCCGTTCTAACTCAACGCATTGCGCTATTTTTACACTAAAAGCAAACGCACATCTACATGATTGTAAATTAAAAAGTGCCGTGTTTGCCCGTGCTGCTAATCACATGTGTTTAAATGCACGTACAATTCTAACAATTTCTATTATTAGCATAAGCCCTGTTGTTATGGTTATTGAAACGACCTCAAACACAATTCCAATGTTTCCACGATAAAACTGCAGAACTGTCAGTGTTGTGCAGTGTAGTCGAAACCATGCACAAGACCATGCACAAGACCAGACACAAGACCAGGCACAAGACCATGCACAAGACCATGCACAAGACCATGCACAAGACCATGCACAAGACCATGCACAAGACCAGTCACCAGTACCGATAACAGGGTGAACAATGGCTACGGAATGTATATGTTTTTGTGGCAGTTCATTTGAATAGCTTGTGACTTCAATTCACACCGGTGGTCTCGAGTTGCTCTTGTTAAGGTCTTAAGTGGCCTCAACTAGGACACTGAGAACTGTAGCACATACAGCATACGGTGTTACTGTGAAGTGTGCATAGGCCCCTTTACTATCTGTACTGTGTGTCAAGTTTACTTGATAAATTCGTTATCAAACTCACGCTCGTGGAACAAGGAATAATGTCACATTATTCCGTGTTCCACTCATGCTCATGTGAAAACTAATAGAGTCTAAACTTGTTTGCCATGCCAATACTAGGAGCAATCGCAGAGTTCCAGTTCCATCTGTCCGAACACTTAGGCACTTTAGTGGACTGTTCCTATCAAAATTTCACAACACAAAAGGAAGTACATCCCAATTAATTACCAACATACAAACCACTGTGTAACGCTTACTGCTTATGTGAAAATATTGACCAATGCTACGAATGAAATGATTTTTATCCAATAAAGGGCTCAGATCGGAGAAACCGCATCATGCTGCCTGAGGAACCATGAACCTCAGCACTTAAATTTCCAGCGGTGGTGGTAACAAGGTAAAATGGCAACTAGGTAACACTCAGTCACACACAAAATTAAGAATGGTAAGGAAAGTTGAAGATACTCTGACCTTTACGGCGATAGTTGCCATGTCCCTGCCCCACAAATTCATTGATAAAAAGCACGTAACCTCGGCCATCTGGGTACTGGGGTCGGTCGTCCACTGGAAATTCAGTTGGAATTGCATCACCTTGAACAACAAAGGTGATTGTCGGTCAAATGATAGCCAAAATATTTCAACTTGTGTAAATGCTTCAGGGACCATCTCGAAAACAAAACCTGAACTGTACAACAGACGTCTCTTTTTAACACGACAAGAGATAAAACAGGAAATGTGAATTTCAAGTGAATCTAAAATGCAAATTCTCATTCTTAGCACTGACATTTTGTAACGCAAATACAGGCCCTCTTCTCAAATGGGCAGTAGAATACCACAAGTCAGAACTGGGACCAGGTGTGGGTACCATTAAGGACTTCAAAACAGCTTCAGGTTTAGGCTTACCCAAGTTGGAATGTTTACCCATACTTATCTGCACAAATACAAACTCTCATTAACCCTAACCCTCCTCAATCCTTCACCTGATGGAGGACTGAGGAGTGTTAGGGTTAATGACCTGCTCTTTTCAACTGGTTGCAAACATGATTGTTTCAATCAGAAACATGCAGCTTCTCAAACGAGGTCAGAAAGTTTTAATGACCTCTCACCTAGGCTTCTTGCTGTTCTCTGTCTGGTTTTGTTATTACTAGACGGAGGCAGCAATGCAGTTTCCTCACTGGAAGCTGGTTCACGCATGACAGGGTGACCTACAATTTCCAAAAGTTTAAGAAATGTCAATATACATGTAATCGGTTGTAGTTCCGTGACAAAATGTTTTAGTTTCTTTCACAAACTTTTTAGTTTAACAGCTTAGGCCTACAGCACAATTGTAGTCTAATTGCTGACTTCTGATGTTGGACCCACCTTCTCCTTCTAAGGCATCTTCTGCCACATTTATGGGAGCAATCAGATGGTGAAATTCAAGCTTTCTTTCAAAGAGATGCCTCAGCTTTCTGTAGTCGCCAACCTTGATGATGTTTTTATGCTCCAATTTCTGGAACAACTGGTCCGGAGTTTTAATCTTTTCCAGCTCCCCGGGCTTCAGGTTACCGAATTCCTCTGCCTTCACCATCTGCTTAATCATCCCAAATTGCTCTTTCAGGATGCACTTATCCAACTCAATCAGTAAAGTCATGTGTGCAGTCGGAGTTTTTCTTCGTGCCGACATTTTTCAGTGCTCTTTGTTCTGAAAGACCTAAAACAGCACAATCCACAAAAATGAAACAAAACTAACACAAAATAAAACAATCCATATCTTACCACACTCCAAACAATTGCTTCTTCTTTTTTTTAGTTAATTAAACTAAGAACCCTACATGATGAATGTGATTTTGGGATCTGATAAATTTAACACAAGCTCCACAAATCAAAACAAGTCACAAGTACAGGTAACAGTGAACATCAACTTTGTCAAAGTAAAACGGTACACTGTATGCCCTAATTATCAGGAAATATCTGGGAATGCAGTTAAAATTACTCACATAGCTGTGACATCATGTCTTCCTCAATGGAAAAGAGAAATCATATTGGGGGTTCACAAAACCTACATGTAAGTTAAAGACCTGAATCAAGTTTGCCGGGCTTTTCCCCGAAATAACTGCAATACATACATGTACATTACATACATAGGCCGGAGTCAATACTTATTACTTTTCCTTGCTATTCCCATAAAATTCAGGAGGTTTACAGACATTACATTGTTCATAAAAAATGAAACATGCAGAGTTTTAAAAAGTGATTCCTGTCTCAGTGCAAGGAAAGTGAACAAAGTAACAGGAAGACATGTCTTCAAAAGCCAAGTCAGATTGGAAACATATTCAGAATTGCTCAACATTGACACAACTAAAACAGAAGAGAAAATGTGCGGGAAACATTAGAAGACAGGGGAAACTTTAAGGAAAGTTGTTAAAAGGAATGACACTGTTTCTTTCAAAAGTTCACATTATATAGCTTACTGTATCAAATCAATTTTATGGGTTCATATCATCATGGGCTTTTGAATGCAGCATATATGTAGTTCAAATCGAGGTAGGCTCCTACATTTGTTTTAAAAAACTCCACTTTGGCAAATTTTCCCCCCAAAGCAGTCGAAAATGGTGTGTGTCTTTCATTCTCCTCATCTATGGTTTTAAAACCATGTGACTGACTATCTCTTGAAAAAAAATCTGGGGTTTTTATTACGATTTACATTATTTCTGGTAATCACCATGGATTCCTCAAACTGACGAAACCTGTAGATCGAAGAGACAGTGAGAAGCAATTGCAGTTTTGGAGCTGGGAGGGAAAGCCGAGATCATTATTCAGGGTAAAACCCACAGGATCAGGTAGGGACTGAAAACCCAATCGTCATGTGGACTAAGCCGGGATTCGAACCCGGACCGCAGAGGTGCAAGGCAATGAAAGAACCACTATATGCCAAACTCACCAGCCTCTCATACCTAACGCAAAATGATCCAAACATACCACACATCGCATGTGGAGACTTACAGGCCAGTGACAGGCCTTCGGACTTTCCCTCCCGCCTCCTCTTCCGCCGCAGAGTATGTTCACTGTTCACTCACCTCCAAAATGCCTTGGCCTTTCACTCTGCACTAGCTCCAGCTTTTTACGTCGACGACCGAACTAGGAAATTTTACCGTAATGAAGATTTTCCGTCATTAACTTCCCGTTTGGTACTGGTACCCGACCACCCCAGCCCACACTCACCGCGCGCACGCTCTTCGCCAGGCGGGGAAACACCTATCCTGCAGCCAAGCCGAGCCAATTTGCTACGGAGGCCGGATAGCATGCGCACTTTTCTCCTGACTGCGCGTATACATTTTTGACACAATCATCTGGCGGCCGCCACTAATTATATACAAGGGGCGTAGGCTGGGGCACCCCCCCCCGCCTGCAGAAGGGATTTTGCTTGAGGTGTTATTTCTTCGTGATCATTTCAACGGTTTTTTTCAAAACTTATATTTGTGAATTCAATGTCCCACTCTCTTTCTGAATCGGTTTTTCTATTTTATTTTCCTCCAAAACATCAACACACATGACATTGGGAGTTTTAATATTTCAGGAAAAAAAGAACAGACAGATTAAGCCCGCTATTCACGTGACCTATAGTGGATATTAAATATCAACACACCACCAAAGGCACAGTTTTTCACAAGTATCACAATGGAGCTAGCTCCATGGTATCATTTACCAAAAATAAAGCCGACAGTAGGTACCGTACTCAGACTACTGATGTGCTCGGTACTAGGCCTATACTGTAACTTATCTGCATTGTTTCTAAACAAAACTCAAAACACACACTGTTTTGGGGTTGATATCCACTATAGATGCAATCTTTCTATTCAGGCTCGAGTTAGACTCAAATTACACCTAATCACAGACAAAGATTCTTAATTTAGAAAAGTCAAAATTAAAGTTACCAACTATCACACCNAGGGTGGGGCCCCCCCCCCCCCGCCTGCAGAAGGGATTTTTGCTTGAGGTGTTCATATTTTTTTTACCAAACGGTAGAATGCAAGACGGATCTCAGCTGTTGAAAAACATGGTCATGTGATTCAAGTGCCAAGATGAAGAAGAATTTATTGGGAGGTGAGAGCAGGGCTCGAGCAAGCTGCTTTTCACGTGCGCACTTGCCTTCCTCATTTAAATGCTGGAAGTTGAAGTTCCGCTTTCTTGAAAATCACACCCCCGGGGCCAAAGCAGCCTATGCCCCGGGCCAGATAATTAAGTGGCGGCCGCCACATAACAAACAGCTGCCTCCATGACTTTGTCAAAAAATTCAACGCGCAGTTCCAAAAAGTGCTAATTCTATCCCATAGCACAATCCGGCCTCAGTGGCTAGCTGATATCAGCCAAAAGTTCCCACTCTGCGGTTTTGGCCCAGAGCAGCCCCCACCCCACCATCCCCTCTCACTGCGCGTGGCACCGTACTTGCCACGTGCTACGCGCGTCTTGGTTAAAACATTTGAAGCGAGGTATGGGACGGAGAGAACCCCCCCGCGCCTTTGTGTTGGTCATTGTTTGATCGGAATCTCAGGAATTCTTTACAGACTTCTAGGGGGGATGTGTCAGGTAACAATAGTCTAGAGTGTGTATAGGGATCTGACATGTACGGGGGGTACCCTTCCGTCCCATATCTTGCCTGGTATAGGTTAAAAAGGCTCATGGAATGAAGACTAGCAAGGAGTAGGAAACCTAGGATGTTTGTTTTGAGTAAGCACCTGCTATCGGCCAGCGTTACTTCGGATAAATTTCAAGATTATTTCGACAGAACAATGTTTCTCACATGGTATTGTTGACTGTCGGGCAATTATGTTACCCACTTTTTACTTCGTATGCAATTTTGATCTCGGAAGATGCCGTGCTTAAGCTTTGCTATCGAGTAAGCCTTGACTTGACTAGGCTGACTTCCATTTGACTGTTACTGTTTAACTCATTAAGTCCACAGGCGCGGATCAACTCTTCCCTCTACTCACTGCCTTTTTATAAAACAGTAGACTTCATCCAAAGTTACAGTCCCTGTTGGGGGTCTTACTTGCGTATCGGTTAAGGACAACATAAAGTGATTAAATAGTTTAAACAACAGCGACAAATACTACACCCCCCCCCCAAAAAATCATAAGATCCGTCACCGGTCCATCCGTTGTTTCTTCGTGATCATTTCAACGGTTTGTTCAAAACTTATATTTATGAATTCAATGTTCCACTCTCTTTCTGCCTCGGTTTTTCTATTTGATTTTCCTCCAAAACATCAACACACATGACTTTGGGAGTTTTAATATTTCAGGAAAAAAGAACAGTCAGATTACGCCCGCTATTCACGTGACCTACAGTGGATGTTAAATATCAACAAACATGACGTCCACCAAAGGCACAGTTTTTCACAAGTATCACAATGGAGCTAGCTCCATGGTATTATTTACCAAAAATAAAGCCGACAGTAGGTACCGTGCTCGGACTATCAGATGTGCTCGGTACTAGGCCTATACTGTAACTTATCTGCATTGTTTCTAAACAAAACTCAAAACACACACTGTTTTGGGGTTGATATCCACTATAGATGCAATCGTTCTATTCAGGCTCGAGTTAGACTCATATTACCCCTAATCACAGACAAAGATTCTTAATTTAGAAAAGTCAAAATTAAAGTTACCAACTATCACATCNTCCAATTAAACAAGAGCTGTTGCAAACTCATCACCAACGAATACGAGCACTTGAAACTATATGTGTACAAAAACTAACATATATTTTTTTAATCTGAGTACAATAAACAACTGCTGTAAAGTTACTTGCAAGGAAAACAGCAAACTACAGAAAGCAGAAAGCTTTAAAAATCTAAGTAAACACGAAAAAATCAGAAAAAATATGAACAACAGCATTTAACACATTGATTTTCACAGACACCTTTTATCCTTTTTGGCCTTTCAAAGGAGAACGTATCATAAGATTTTTGTCATTTCATGACAGGAATGTATACAATTTGTAAAGAAAACTACATCAGTACTTGAAAATATATGGCTTTTAAAGCTAATTTTAGCCTTTCTCTTGCAAGCATGCAGTGCTACTTTTTATCAACTGGCAAGACTACAATTTTTCCATGAAATTGCAGAAATCAGTTCTAGAACCAAAACTAGCGTATCTACTGTTGTGAATCCTTTCAGCATACCTCAAAGCTTCACTAGCACCCTCTACACAGTTCCCAGCAGAGTATTTCCAGCACAGCAATTACTAAGTTATTGTGATGTTCTGGCATTCACCAGTTCATGGAACAGAAACAGTTTCTGACATTTAAACTAAAGGCCAAACTTTAACCTCTGGCCAATGAGCAACATGCAACACTTTGCAGATTTTACCCTATAGCAATATGTGATTTGGTTCTTTTGTAAAATCTATCAATGTAAATCAGAATGAAAGAGATTCCCCTTTTATTCCAATCCAAATTTGTCATCATAGTATCTTGTTCATTTCACACAAACATTGGTTCAGCAATTAATAAAATAGAATTTGGAAAGGTAGCCTTCCTTAAGTACATGTATATACATTTAACACTTCACTTTTTTCGAATGTTTACCCTTTGGTAATCTCTCATAATTTTCCTTTCGCACAATACCGCAGGCCCACAATTTTTTCACAGTACCTTTCGGAGTTAATTTTTGTTAAAAAGTGAGAAGGCAATTAAAAACAACACCGGAGTTGAAAATGTTGTGGTTGCTTTATATAGCTACTTCTGTTACCAAAGCAACGGTTACATTTCAGATGAGATTCAGATTTCAAATCAGGTTTTGGCAAATCAAATGTATTGGCTCTAAAATCAGTCCTAGTATTTTTGGCACAATGCGCTAGCTACCACTTTAATAAAATACAACATGCTGCTTCAAAGCAAAGTTTCAGGCACAGTTTAAAAGTACTTTCAGCTGTTTAAAATTACAGGATTTTTTAAGGCTCCCAAAAACCTGCTACCAACTGACATTAATCCAACTGCAATTAAAATGCTTTCTTGTTCTAATTACACAATTACTAAGTTCAAATAGAATATTTGTCATCCATCTGACACATGATGCACGTATACAGGCATATATGAATGTCTCTATAAAAAGGATTTCATTGCAATACTTTAGAATATCTTTAAGTCACAGCTTTACGAGTGTTAATCATTTTATTACAAATTGTGGGGCCAAATGACGGCAATCAAGGCTTCAAACCTCAGGTCAAAGGTCACACAGCGGTTAGTCTTGAACTGACGTTAAGATCAGAGATTTTGTTTGGAGTTTCTTTTGAGCCATGTGCGGTCCCTCTACAGCCGCACACCCAGGCTGCCATTTGTAGAGGGTGGGGAGGGGTGGAGTCAGGGATGGGCCGGAGGAAGTGAAGGTGTGAGTGACAGTCTAATCATACATGGCTACAAGATCATATGAATTATCCTACTATTTAACAACTGACCTATTTAAGGCAGTGTCCCTCTATTACATCGAATATCTCCTCCTTTGTCTTAACATGGGCAATTTTTCCTTGGCTGCTGTTGACTGCCCAGTGCAACAAACTGCACCAGACTTTTACACCACGTGCACCGTGCTGCCTCTAGCAGGGTTCGGGCTAAAATATCACACTGTAGGAGAAAGTAATGGCAGGGCTATATATTATGTACATGTACATCCGAAACTTCAGTCATCCTGTTTGTTGTCTACGGCAAGACTGCCAACTCCAACACAGGTTTAAGATTCTGATGGTCTCATGCCAATATGCAATTCCTCAAGAGAGAGAGAAAAAAACCTTTACATGTACCACCCCCCCTACAAAACCAAATGATGAAACACTGACCTAACAAAGCACAATGCATCTGATGGCATAGGTCATATGGTGCATGCACTCTGTGTGCAAAATGCACAGGATATGAGATTTTGCAATGTGACACGACTCAGTACATGTCTTCATTTCCCTGATGGAGCTACATGTGCATGTGTACATGTATTTTTAACATCAATGTGATGTTGCAAAAACAGGTATAATGTACTTGTGGTTTGGTTGCAAGTTGACACAAGTAAATGACTTCCTCTTCCAGTTGAAATGAGGTGACACAATCATTTGGAAATTTCAAATCTTCTGTAAGCGATCCAAACCATTTTCAATAGAAAGGCTGTGCCGACTCGGTACATGTCTTCATTTCCCTGATGGAGCTACATGTGCATGTGTACATGTATTTTTAACATCAATGTGATGTTGCAAAAACAGATATAATGTACTTGTGGTTTGGTTGCAAGTTGACACAAGTAAATGACTTCCTCTTCCTGTTGAAATGAGGTGACACAATCATTTGGAAATTTCAAATCTTCTGTAAGCAATCCAAACCATTTTCAATAGTAAGGCTGTGTCAATTTGAATCTATGAATCTTTGACCTTCCATTCAGTCAAATATTGATTATAAACTTGTACAAAATTCCCACAAAAGCAGAAACAAAATCAATTCATTTTTACAAAAAAGTAAAATTTATAGAAGGTCTTTTTAGCCTTATTGTTGACTATGTGTAATCATGTGCCTTTAAGTTACACCTTCAGAATGCAACTTTGTACTCCAATAATTGAATTCTTTCCTTCTTTATTTCATTGACTTCACCGCCAATAAATCAAATTTGAAAATACCAATTTGATTTTTCGATCAAGAATCAAATATCCGAGTATTAAACTGAGCCGCATAGCCCTCTCCAACATTTTTCCACTGCACAAACATGGAGGAAGTTGGTGGTTGATGACAAGGATCTGTTACCATCAACAGCTAAAGCAGTAAGGGGTGCATAACGTGGCAGCCAAAATCAGTTCTGCAGAAAGGAGTTTACACCAGCTCTAATTTAGGGTAAACCAAGGGAGAAATTTTCCCACTGAAGTCAACATTAATATTTCATTTTATTTTGTGTTGCTTTAAAAAAATTTTTTTTTAACTCGGTAAAATTCAAAATTCACTATCAAACACTGGGGGGGGGGTTTGTTTGTAACTTATACCAGCAAAATAGCCATATTTTGGCCCATTTCCTGTGTTAAGTTACAAATGACACATTAGCCCTCTCAGGGTTACGTCTTCCAATTTCAACATGATTTTTCTTTTATCAATATTACAAAATGTAACAACCTTGGCCAAATAAATAAAACCATTCTTGTAGTCCAATTTTAGAATAAGCAGTGGCAATCCACAAAAAGATCTTTCCTCACAAATTAACTAACTACCCAACTTCACTCAATACTGATATTTTAATGCTAACAGTTTTGGACCTTTCTCCAGTAAGTAATATTTCAACACGAAATCCACTGCTGTGGCAGTCAATTTCACTGGCATTTACCCACATTCACAATACATCTGATCAAAAGTATCAGAGATTATTAAAAGAAATTATTTCTCGCAATGCTAAGACAATGACTCATGCATCCGTTTTTTATAAGAAATTTTTCAATTAGTATTTTACAATTTTACTTCAAATGCAATTCATTAGTTATTTGGTAAACAAAATACAACCATCCCAAGCACAGTCCTACAAATTTAGAAATGGATTGAGGCTAACTACCGCACGATGAATCTCTGTATGGCGATGAGGAGCAGTTCAAAGCCAGATGTGCTTGGTCAGCGTGGTGATCTGGCAAGGCATCTGCTTGGCTCCCTTCTCGGTGGACTCCATCTTGGACACCTCGTCGTTGACCCTCACCAGGAGATCCATCAAGTGTTCCTTCTGATGGCGCTGTCGAATGACGTTGCAGAAGTGATAGATGAACCAGGAGCCGTCCTCTTCATTCCGCCAAGCCTTGGTGCCTAAAACAATGGGAGACAGCGCAGGGAATGGCATCGCTTTTCAGGAACAGAAACCCAAACTTTGAAGATGGACAGAATCAGTTACAGAAACATAGCCGTGTTTCATTAATTACTGGCTCTCTTTAAAAACATACAGAGGCATCAAAACATTGACAGAATGCAATCTTCAAGAACAATGCAGATCAAGTTCAATCACCCTTTGTTGTGGCGTAGGAGACCAGGACGTCGGCGTTGACAGGGCGCGTGAGGGTGGGAGGACCCAGTTCACCGTCTGGGTGGGCACGCTTCCGCTGATCTCCCGTCATGTCGTCGGAGGAGTCTGGCCGCGGTGCCCTGCACGCCTGGATGATAAAGACTTTGGGTTTACCTGTAAAGGGAACCAGGTAAACTTAATAGGTAAGCAGCCCAACAATCTTTACACCGAGTACGTCAGCACTGCAGACGTTGTAGTCTTCAAAGCCACACCTAGAACACTTGAACAAATATACATGCACCTGCTTGGGTTGGCTCATGTCTGAAGAATTCATAAACCCTCACCCTCCTCAATCTTCCAATATCCTACAGGTGGTTTTGGAGGATTTTGGATGATTGAAGGTGAATGGTAAATGTGCATGGCTGATTGCAAAGGATATCACACGTGAAGATCGTGGGTTCAGCCCCATATTTCTTTTGAATCAACCGCACTGTGCAAGAATGCCCTTCGCACTACCTCAACATAATGAATTCCCGGCGGATTTTGAAGGATTGCGGCAGTAGGCACACCTCCAAGTACCATTTTCGAGAAAATTTGGAGGATTTTGGAGGATTGAGGGAGAATCCAATTTTTTCACCCCCCAAATTGGAGGAGGGTTCCTAGTAAAAAGGACCTGGGGGTTAGGGTTAAGAGTACAAGTGTTACATAAACAACCCAAATAATGCCACGTTGGTTCTGAAACTTGTTGCAACATAGATTGATGGGAAATGACCTTTTAAGAAAAGAAAAACTTCCTGAAAGATATAGTAAATACCAGTAACTTCCTGCGTAAGGTTCCAATGCCATATCAGTTTTTATGAATCAATGGCAAATGTATTTCATAATTTCTGTTGGTCAGTTTTTATTCCTGTTACATGGCATTTCCTTTCTCAAACTTCCTTTCTTAAATCAAGTTACTGTAAGAAAGTGACATACAATTTTTTTGTGAAAGGAACCAGGCGTCATATATGCTTTTGCTTCTGGTACATGTAGGCATCCTCAATACATCACCCTATGTCTTTATGCTATTCAATTACTTCTTTACAATTGCAGTGATAAATGGAAATAAATCAAAGAGATTTGACAATTCCACCAACCTGCGAACTCTTTAAATTTGTCTCCCAAGAACGGCCCAGTCAGCTCTTCCTCTGTTATGCTTTTTCCGTCCACTGTAAAAATACTTTCCTATGGGAATAAAGCATTTATTTTAAATTTTCCAAAAAAAATTAATGAAGCTTTTTTATTTGTGCTTATTGAGTGGCCGATTCAAAGTGAGGAAAAACCTCAGAATAACTGGGTCTGATGCAATTCCTTTTGTTCATAATGAGCAAATTCAATCTTACAGAGCCACACTCAAGTTGGAATCTCTCCATTTGTTTCTGTCATTTCAATGCCTACAAGCACTTCCGAGCAAGCCAAGATTGGAGACAGGGAACCAGTCACCATTAACAAGAATTAGTGCATAACGAGTGAACATAGTGAAGAAAAAAAGAACAGGACCAGTCAAACGCATACCTGGGTCAGTTTCTGGTTGTTCTTTTCCTGAACAACCTGCAAGCCGTGGCTGCAAATGATCAGAATGAATTTGGTGTAGTTCCCCCTTTTAAGTTTCTCCTTCGTATCTTCTAACACTTTCAGAAGTTTGGGCCTCTTCAAGTCTTCGTACTTGTCAAATTTATACTTCATTGTTTCATCGCACAACTTCTCAATATTCTCCTTGTCTTTGTCACAGCCTTGAAATGGGTGCAGATAAAAATAGAAACATGGTCAAGAAATAAACAATCCCCACGACAATGGAGGTGTTTTTCATAGAGCTGTTTTCTCCCAAATTTTCTCATAAATCACAGAAGAGTGGGCATTTGTTCTTGTAGATACGCCTCCTGTTGGAAATGTAGTGGGAACCAACTACAGTAAACTCCGGCTAAGTCAGCACTCTCGGGACGCGAATGCCAGCTTGTGTTGTTAGTCACCATTTTGCCGACTTACACGTACACACGTATTGCCTATGTACATTATGATTCCTTGAGCTAATACAATGGCTTTGATTTACCCTGGTTTATTTCTACCTCCATGGTCGATCCCAGCAAATTTGTTCTCTATTATTATCCTGCAAATTCAATAATTGATCATGTGCCTCTAAAGACGAAGCAAGGACAACAAGCCACATGCATATCACATCACAACTCAACAGTGTACGACATATGTACCGGTACATGTACTGTACATGATACAGTCATGGTACAGAAAACATACACCCATCCACACACGCGCATTGGTAAAGTTCGTTCCATATAGTCTGGATACCAGACCCGATGATTTTCACTACCAGACGAATCATTATCAATGGTCGTCCGGGGATCTTTGGTCAGGGTACCAGTCTACATTCAAGAAGGCGACCCCAAAATGGACAGAGCGCATGCATGTAGCACTAGAAAGGTTACTGGTATTGATGTACTCACGCTGGCCACGCGCGCATGGGACTTGTCACTTGACACTTCTTGGCAACCGCGGCGAAGGAAACTGATACCGAAGAAATTTTTGTGGTTTGGTGGAAAAGGGACCGAGAAAAACATGCCGACATATACAAAATGACGACTTATAAATGCCGATTTAGAAATGAAATTTTCAATGGAAATGCATTACAGACAATCGGGACTTTTATCAAACGGCAGACTTGAACGATATGACGGGTTACGCGATGTTGACTTAGTCGGAGTTTACTGTACATGTGCTGTACATAAAGCATAAACGCTGTGCACAAATCGTCTGCTGCCTGGCTAAAGGACATACTAAGCAAACTGTTGACATATGAGTTATGTGCATAGAACAAATGCCTTCCCCCCCCCCGAGGCACATGACGAAGTATGCCCTCGCTGGTCATAAACAGAGAGGCCAGGCCAACATTTGAACATCATGGCCACAGTGCACAAACTCACAATGACACTGACAACAATTGCTTGTGCCAGTTTTGCTCATTTCGCCACTGTACAGGGTGCTGGGATAGATCTCATCACAAATGTGCACAAGTGCCCAAGGTCACTCTCTTGCATGTTGGTGCAGTGCACAACACGACACAGCTGTGCTTCTTTGAGGTGTTTACCAAGTGACCCAAAGAGTGACTTCAGCATATTAAGAGGGTTAATAAATGTACACAGATCTACATTCAGCATGGAAGTGTCAATCTATGCTACCGGTAGTTCAACTAAATTCGGCCCAGGAAAGTGTATCAAGCAGCCCCATGAGATCAGCCAATCACTGTAAAGGCAGTAGCAACAACTAAATGTAACTAGGTTTATACATGTAGCTAGGCAACAGAGCGCCCTTGTGCACTCATGCACAAGGCCAATAGTTAGAAAAGCCCAGGACTGTCTCACCTACACGGAGGTATCCATCATCATGTGCATGCTCCACAAATTCATTGATGAACAGTACATAACCTCGGCCATCTGGATAACGAGGTCGGTCATCATGGTGCCGTGTGTGGTCCACATCATCCATTGGAACATCACTTGGAAATGCATCATCTTTGAAATACAAGGTAAAATTGCAAAAAATACATCACTTTAAGCTCAAACAGGCGAACTCTCATCACGGAAGCAGTTCGATCCCTCCAGATGGCGGATAAAATACAGGGAGTACATGTAAAAGCTGACTTTCATAGCATTACTCAAGCCGAACTCAAAAGCCAACTTTTTCAAAGTGGAAACTCAACAGGGTAGCAGAGAAGTTTAGAGAGAACTACCAATTGGAATGGGGTACAAGCACTGAACGTTTTGCTTGCTTGGAAGCCAGCAAGTCTGCAGAATTTTCCCACATGCGAATGTTTGCTTATGTACTGTACATGCACACACACACACCCACGCATACAAAGTGTGAACATTCCTTTGTTCTCCTGTGGATAAGGAAACTTGAGGAAAATGCTCCTTTTTCTCCAACTAGGATAACTCCTTCGAGCTGGAATTTCGATGATTTCCTGGACTGTTCCTCTTCATGATGCCATGGATAACCCTGACCCCAAAATGCCTCTTAAACTGTTTTCAGAGGGGGCAAAACATTGTGTGGACGTGGGTGAGTCCACACACCATTGTACCCTGCATCGTATGGACTTTTTTTGAGCAGAGGTGCACATGCACACTTTACATGTACATGTACAAAACATGGCATTCCAAGTGTACGTACATACATGAACATGAAGACAACACCACTAGTCTCTATTAAACACATATGATTTTTCAAAAGGAATAGAGGCTCAAATCTTAGTATAACCTCTTACCTATGCTGCTTGTCGATATCAGCCTGGTGTTATTGTTATTCCTGGACGGTGGAACGCTTCCCGTTTCCATAGAGACCACAGATGATGCTGATTCGGCATAATCATAATCACGCTTGATCTGGTAACCTACGAGTTGTAAAAGAGTTTCAAAGTTTTCATCAGCCCTTTTTAGAATTCACACGTATTCAGTGTTGCTTATTTTCTATGCACGACATTCAAAATGGCCAACTTTTTTCACGAGTGTACAGTTTGGGACTGTGCTACTGTGGCAGTTTATCAATTAATGACTTCCTAAGCTGGACCTACCTTCCTTTCTCAATGCTCTTTCTGCATCCTCTATGAGATCGATCAAATCCTGGATACCAAGCTTTTTACCAAGAAGCCTCAGCTTTCTGTAGTCGCCAACTCTGATAATGTTTTTATGCTGCAACTTCTGAAACAACTCGGCCGGAGTCTTGATCTTTTCCAGCTCCCCCGGCTTCAGGTTCCCAAATTCCTCTGCCTTAACCATCTCCTTCATCTCTTCAAACTGATCCCCTAGTAGTTGTTTGCCCAATTCATAAAGTAACTCAGTGTGCGCAGTTGGAATTCCTCTTTTCATAGGTCTTGCAGCCATCTTTCAGTGTCCTCTGATCAGAATGACCTACATGTATAACAAGTGCCAGAAATTTTAAAGCAAAAACTCTAACAAAATGAAAGCTACTCTGCATTTTCCTACATAAATCAGTCAAATTCTACACACTACGTCAGATTGGCCACAAGTTTACCGATTAAGGGCCTGTTTGTTTCACGCGGATATGGATCTCCATCAGTGATCCTAACGCTGGTTCACACCATACACTATGCGGGTTTTGGTGTCCGTAAACCAACCACGGGTCGCTAATCATGATCCTGATCCATGTGATCTCGATCAGTGATCCTAATGCTGGTTCGCACCATCCACTGTGTGGATTTCGGTGTCCATAAACCAATAACGCATCGCTAATCATGATCCAGATCCATGTGATCTCGATCAGTGATCCTAACGCTGGTTCACACCATACACTATGCAGGTTTTGGTGTCTGTAAACCAACGACAGGTCGCTAATCATGATCCAGATGATCTCGATCAGTGATCCTAACGCTGGTTCACACCATCCACTGTGTGGATTTTGGTGTCCGTAAACCAACAACACATCGCTCACCATGATCCAGATGCATGTGGAACAAACACTGCCTACAACCTGATAACCATGAGTAGATGCCTATGGTGTCAATGACAAAGGTGATTTTCACAATACATGCAAGTTACAAAAAATCATGACATTACACTGACAGTGAACAATTTACCTGTACAATCCTTCCAAACCACAACCTGGTCTTTGTCAAAAAATGAAATCAAATTGCACACTTTTTGCCCTGTAGGTGTTTCAGAAAAACTGGTAATTTAATCAGATGCACCTCTGATATAATCATTTCTATTTCTGTAGTATTCTCTGCTAGGAAAAGCGCAATCACACAGAGAGAGATTTCCCAATGTCCTAGGTCTTGTCGCTTGTCAGGAAATGGAGCTGGGTTTTTTCCTCAAATTACTGCAAAACCTATCCAACCTCCATCCTTAATGTACTTCCTTCCTTCCCTGTCCCATAAGAAGACATGCGCCCCCCTGACAAAAATAGCCCAAGCAAAAATTTCCTCTGGCCCAGTGCCAGGAAAGTGAAAGCAGGCAATAAAAGTGACGGGTATTGTTCAAAAGTTTCTTGAAATACATGACCTACTCTGCAGTAATGAGACATACAGTGTAATATCAGTTTTGTCAGTAATTTTTTTTGGCTTTGCATTGGGAAGAGCAAGCCAAGCATTTCGTGTTGATGTACTTGGTATTACTCGTTTTGGCATCCTGACAAACAGGATCACTGTGTGAATAAATGTTGTGGAGAGTTCCTTCTGATTTCTATAGTGCATAATTAAATAAAAGGCCTTTAAACTCAAAACTGACTTTGGTGGCTTATTATTACTCATTTTGACAGAGTAAGTCACATACGTATGTGACCTGCATACACATGTACATGTACATGAGCCATAACAAACCCAAGATCATTCTAAATCGCAGATCAGGTTTTTACAGATTATTGTCATTCAATGTGTTGAGGTTTAGCTGCCAGCTGAGGGAATAGTCAGGCAGATTCTTGGTAAAACAGCAGGCCACAGGAAGTTTGAACACTGCAAGCCACAGGAAGGCTTGGAGGAAGACCTTTGACAAATCTTTCACAGGTAGAGTTTAATACTGTCCCAAATGCAATTGATACTGTACTGTATGTTGATACATACGGTAATAATGATGTTAGAGAGACAGGCTGATTTGATGATGTTCATGTACCATGACATCCACTGCATCTGTGAGGAATTTGGAGTACTAAAAAAACGAGTAAACCTACACGTAGGTTCTAAAACTTCTCAACTCCACATTTTTAACCCCTTCGCACTGGGACGCGGCAAGACACGCTGTAAAAATTGAGATCCTCAGCCCGCTTTCCAGCTTTTATTCTCGGCCCATGCTCGAGCAAACACGGTGAAAGAAGGCAGACCCTGGCTCTTGTATATATGGTAATTGGCCTTTGTGTAGACCAGAAATGAAAAGACCGAATTTGCATCATAATCACCAGCTTCACAATAGTCCCCACTTTTAAAAGAGGCAACGGGAATGTGGAAGCGTGAGTAGAGCCAAATGCCACCGAACAATCAGCCTTTTCACCGTGTACTTAAAACCGTGCAGAGCACGCAGGGCCACAAACCGAGAATTTGCGGTTTGGCAAGTGGCCTTCGTGGCCAATCGAGGCTGGAATTCTTGGACTCGGCTTACGGAAAGGAATTCCCATCATACAGGGGTTAAATGCCCAACACTCTGTATCAAAAGTGGTGAAACTGAACAGCCAAACAATCTCTTTGCTTTCTACCAAAACATGACCACTAAATAATTAGCCCTCATTACTGGCAGAAATCTGTTAATAGAATTTGGAATATATGATTCTTCTCCTAAATACTGGTAAGTGGTAAGTAATATTCAGTGGTACTTTTCACCCATATGAAACCTGAAGTAATGTTCAGGAATGATGTTTTACACTTCATGTATGGTTTTTCGTTACAAGATAATAACTGCAAAGTGCTGTTGGAGTTTTAATGTGTGATACTGCAGGCCTAGTAATTTTGTGGGTGTGGTTTGTGTGTTCAGAGGACCCAGATCTCTTATTAAGCGAAGTAGCGAACACAGAAACATTTAGCCATGGTGTCATTCTTATGGCTCATCTTTATAGTGATAGTTTTGGGGGGATACATGTAGGCTTGCAAAAACAAAACGTGAGCACGAAAAATGAAAATCTTTCACAAAAGGTGAAATTTTTCTACGGTACAGAATCCACTTTTCTGTGTTGTCCACTTATCCTTTTGTTATAGACCATTTGCAATTGGTCAATACCAAACAATTTATAATTCATAAGGATCCTTTTTTACATCAGAAACATACATATTCATGACAAAGGAAATGGTCCTTGGGTTCAGTTTTCTATTCAAATTGTGAACCAAATACATGATCATGAAACCTATAAATTATTTGCAAAAGAGGTTTGTTCACTGTCTATACTCTAATAATCACAAAAAAAAGCCAGAAAAATATTCAAAATTCTGTCAAATCTTTGCGCAGAGAATATGGTTGTTCATGTAGCACTATGCCTACTTGTAGGTTTCTTCCTTTGACGACATCATACTTAAAATATGCAAATTAATATTAACATAAAACTTAGAAACTGTACCAAACTGACAGCTGTCAAAGGATCGTTATACGACTTAATAAAAAGCGCATTAACAAAATATACAATACGCTACATAGGCCCGCTAACTTTTATTTCCTTTTAAACCCTCAGGCCAAGTTTGGTTTTAAAAGTAACTGCTTTGACATTTTAAATATGATTTGGACATGATGATCTGATCATGACAAATCTAGCAACTAGAACGGCAAAGCCCCAACGGCTCGGCTGCTTCATGTGAATCGCAATTTCTTTTCAATACCTCAAAGGCGTATTAAAGCATTTCACCCCCCACCTCATCATCCCTTCCATCTCCAAGTCCCGTCTCATCTCCAACTCAATTTCTTCATTAAATATGTACATGTACAAGTATTTTAAGCATAGCTTTCAAGCAATGATCAAGTAAAAAGACATATGTATTACACGGACTGAGCGATAAGATACTACATGTACCAATGGGCTCTTCCAAAACTTTGGCAGCAGTTTAAAAGTCTTGACATGGAACAGCCGTCGAAACGATGAGGGGGGGTCAAGTGACGTAATGTTTAACGACCTTATTTCAAAGATGGTGACTGTGAGAGCGAGCCCGTTAGATTGAAAGGGATAAAGACAAAAAGACTGGAAAATACCTAAACAACGTGTGTGAAATCATTCAATAAATGGTTTTAAGAAAGCGGAAAGGTCAAGAATCATGTCCGTGTGCAAAAGAAATTGCTCCCACAACGATAAGTGGGTGCGCCGAAAATGTTCAATACGCCGACACGAAATTGCATATACGGATGTGTGGCTAAGGATGGATCGGGAATGAGAGTCCGTGCCACAGGGGCTACACTTAACAATGCTTTAATTAAAGGTTACAACTTACAACTTTTTGCGAGCTGTGAAGCAAATGTGAGCGTATGTATTAAATAACGATTTCTGTCGGATGGATTGGGAGTGAGAGTCCGTGCCACAGTAGTGGGGCTATGTAAAGTGGGGTTCAGAATTCTCAGATAAAGGTTGTTAGATTAGTACTGCAAAGCAAGGCATTTCTAGGGAAGTCATACATGTACATGTATCACATCGTACAAACAGACAAAGACTACTTCGAGATGATTCAACACCGGTCTTTACAGACACCGTGTTCACAGACACCGTGTTCACAGACACCAGCCATGCTGACCGTACTCGCTCACAGTGCCAGCCCAGGTTGGCATGGTTGGATGTCTACATTGCATTGCGACTAACGCCATGTACATGTGTACATGTAGACGTCATCCATGCCAACCTGGGCTAGCTCACTGTCATGCCCGGCCATGCCGGCCCGTGCAGAGCTTTAAAACTGAAATTGGCTTAATGTTCTTACAATACCAACCTAAGATTGTTCACTTACATTCACAAATGTGCTGGTATTATGCAATAATATTGCACTCACGTGTAGCTTTTCTTTTGATGTCCAGAAACAAATAAAGGGGATTTCCACTACATAATGAGCTCCCTGGTTCCGACCGCATCATCGCAGCAATGCCACCGCTAAGCGCGGGATATACGATTTATATAATGGCTACAGCCACTTTCAATAGGCACGCGTGTAACGTCCAGCTAGCCGCAGCCAGTAATTTGAACAGAGCTCAAAGTGGCCTATGGAAGGGCGCCACCACATGTACGAGGCGCGCCAACTGGATGAAAGCCGCAAAAACAAAATGGAGGGAGACGGCGATTTAGTGGCGGCTGCCATTATGGCAATGCAACAAACAGACTCAGAACATGACCCAGAATCTACGATTCTGCATGTCGTGGCCCAGGCTGAGTGCCCAGGGGACGGCCAAGTGGAAAACCAGATCATGGTGCAGTCAGACGGCGAGATTATCGTGCAGCAACACCCAGCCTCCGCGTTGCAGGAACTCCAACAACAAGGCGTGGAGACAGCCGGGCAGCAGCGGGTGCAAGACGGGGCAGTGGTCGGGGCCGCTGCGCCTCAGGACCCGACAACCTTGACTGTCGAGATGCATGAAGTCACTGGCATGGACGTGCAGACGGTGCCAATAACGTGTGCCAGTGAGCAGACAAATGATGAAGCAATGCAGCAAGGAATTGGAGGGAGGTTTTTACAAGTACGCACTGGTCATCAGTCATGCTGGAACCAACTTTGCCAAGCCCCACAAATAGGGCTGTCATGGCTCTCTTTTACAATCTGTCTCTTATCTGTCGCCACCACAGCCCTACTTCAAGGCATATCTTAAATGCCTTAAATCCAAACTGCAGGATTGTCACAAATTTTGAATCCTAATAATCTTATGAAATGAGAATGACTCAACAATTTTACTCACACCGGCGTATTTCTCAGAGTTTGGACTTTCATATGAGCACCCTAAAGCTTTCTAAAATCGTAAATTTTCCAATGTATGGCACCTTGAAAAAAACCAGCCTGCAGTATTATATGCTGACCACGAGCATCGCCATTTTGAAAAACGAAGGCAGCGCTTCATTCGTCGGAAGTCAGGGCACCCGACAGGTGCCATAGATGCATAATTCATGTTGTTATAGTATTGCTTAGTAAAAAGTTGCACGCCCACTTTGCTAGTGTACAGTACGCCCACAGCACGTGTGTGGAGCATGATACAGTTACATGCATATTAACGCTATTCAAATTCAATTTTACTGGTTCCTTGTTCGTCTGTCACACAGGGTATTACGGGGTACCAGTTTTGTATGGTACAACATATACCAGAGCGCCTGAAATCCAACGCAAGAAGTGCTGCTTTCATTTTTCAAAATGGCACCACCCGTGGTCAGCATGTAATACTACAGGCCGTTTTTTTCAAGGTGCCATACATCGGAAAACATACGATTTTGGAAAGCTTTAGGGTGCTCATATAAAAGTCCAAATTCTGAGAAATACGTCGTTGTAAGTAAAATTGTCGAGTCATTCTCATATCAGAAGATATTAGGATTCAAAGTTTTTGACAATCCTGCAGTTTGGGTTTCAGGCATTAAAGACATGCCTTGAAGTAGGGCTGTGGTGGCGACAGATAAGAGGCAGATTGTAAAAGAGAGCCACCACAGCCCTATTTGTGGGTCTCGCTGGAACCTAGGCTAGCCCTGCCTGTCATGCCTGACTTGATCATTGTCATGTCCATCTGTCAATCATGTCCATCTACATGTACTTCTATCATGTCCATCATGTCCATAAGCTATCCAGTCCTATACTAGCCTATGCCTAGGGGCCTAGTCCTTGGGGAACTGTTCAGCTCAGGTTACATGTCAGTAGATGCGGGTAAACATGGTAAAGAATTCCGTATCACTGTTCCTTGCTCCATGGTATCACTCAGTCCATCACCGATATTGAGTGCCAAAAACACGAGCAAGTTTAATCTACCGTGCCTACAGTTCTCCTTAAACCTATTCCTCCAGGTATTCCCATCCAGCCTACTTCTACCAAATTCAGATCCTGTCTAAATTAACATTTGCAGCTCTTGTTAAGTTTGTTTATTTATTTCTGATGACCAACAGCAGTTACCCGCCACTTACTGCTTATGTTACGATGTATGTCGTGTTCTTGGTGTTTGTTAAACAAGGAATTTGTGATGAACTCGCATGTACTAGTATGTGGAAGTCTTTCCAGATTTGTACAGGAGAAATGTATGATTTGCCAAATTTTTGGACAAATCAAATGCCTCAAACACTGACTGCAGAGAGCCATACACATTTGCATGGTGTTTTTATCAAAGAAGTTGGGAAGAATGTTGCATCCTGACTCCACTTTAGCTGTTGTGCACAAAGTCTATGGGAGTCAAGGAAATCTCCTAAACATGACATACAAAATTGGTAATCAATGGTGGTCCCAGATTTGTGTCTGTTCAGCATTTCTGCAATGACTGACCTTTATTGAGATGATACGTGACAAAAAAGTGGAGGTAGGATGCAACATTCTCTCCAGAGTTTTTTTACCAATAATCTTCTTCCTGTTAAGGAGTCCATTGGCCCGGTAACTCCTCTGGAGGTGGTCCAGGAGGCTACAGAAGTAGACATTCAGAGCATTGATGAGAATGTCACAAAGCTGTGCAAGAAATACCTCAGCGATGTCAAGGAGGTAAGAAAGATCGAGCGAATCTCCATACCCGGGTTGAAAAATTAGGCATGTCGATTTTGCTCATTTTTTCACACTTCCCTCATTTTTTTCATTCCATGAACATCATATGAATTGAGAAATTAACCAGGCATCCATGTCTGCCTTTTTCGAGAATTTTAGATATTGAGATATTCACAACACAGGATGTACATGTGTGCATGTTAATTTGCACACTCTTAAATTTTTACATGTACATCTATTAATGAGATTAATTTGCATAAATGTGCAGGCTAGTTGCAAATCAGAATGACAGAGTTTCCACAGTCATGGAAAAATCCCAGAGAAAGGTCGTGAAAATTCATGGAAATCAAGATCATGCAAATGTTATGTGTACAGTAATTTTTGTAGTCCACTTTTGAAATTTGAATGTTAATGGGTTTAAGTAAAATACAGCAAGTTTAAATCAGTGGTGTTTGGCCATTGAAGATAAATGGTTTGCTTCAAAATTGTCACTACTCATCTTCGTTTGCATTAAATTCAAATGTAAGATGACATTATCTTACGCTCTTGTTTTTCTTTAAAAAAATACAAGGTTGACAAGGACTACCTGCGAGGCTTTCATGAGGGGCCAGGTATCAGCTTTGAGGAGTTCCTCAGCAAGTATTTCTGTGTGACGGGGACATCCTTTGTTGCCGTGAGCAATAGGAGCCGGACGATGCCTTCCACTGGCCAGCAGCGGCAGTCGCGTTACTATGGCAACTGTGAAGGTCAGTTCGGAGCACAGTTCACAGACACTGCGGTACACTTTGCCATACAGTCAAAGTAGATGTGACTTATCTTGAAATGATAACAAGAGGTTTACATGTATGTCTTTTGGTTGTTTGACATCATGATCAAGGTCACAGACATCTTTTCTGTTTGCTAACCCAAGCCCATCCATTCCTTCAGAGGCCAGTCAGGATTTAACTGAAGATTTTGACAGTATCACTGAAAACATTTGAATGGACAACTAATGAATGGAAAGGCAGTGTTGGAGTTTCGTCTATCCCAAGTTCTTTCATGAGACCAGTCATGAGTAGTGGTGAACTTTGACAAAGGAATGCTTTTGTCACAGTTCATGGAGACTGAGTAATTTGTGATGGACTTGCAGGGACTTGAAACTCGACTAAAAACAAGAAATAGATGGACCATCTTTTAGGATTCTCATTTTGAATGTGCAGGTCGTATACGATGGGAAGCCAAGGGGGGCACCCTGCCGATTGAATTCTGCGGTTCACCATTCAAAATCGAGAGCTCCATGTATCTGCACTGCCTACATGGGCCCAAGAGGGTAAGAAATTTGGTTCACGATATGGTTGCATGGCAGGAATAAAAGAACTTTGAAGTACAGACAGTGTCTTACCAAGCCTTTCTCCACTTTTGCTGTGGACAGGTAAAGATTATTCATGACAGGCAGTGGTTGCCTGTAAACAAGTTTCAGATCCCCCATTCGCATGTATTTCACAGTTCTTTTAAGGTCTTTGTGATTCTATTCAAAGCACCTGGTTCTATGGAAATAGGCCCAGATAGCACCAAGGGGTATAAGTGTATTTTGCTGAGAGTGTACAGGCCACGCAGTCCATGAGAACAGACTGGAAGATATATTAATCCCAGATGAAACCCCAAATATCTGGTTCTCAAGTGACTTTGTCACAACGGTGGACACGCCGTGATTTGCAGGCTCCCATTGGATGGTCGCTGAAGTTGCACATTAACTTCCAGTTCCATGGCAACAGCGATCAGTGCCTGCAACTCTATGTGCAGTGGATGTGCAGCGGGCGTGGTTTAAACTGAAGTGACGTCACACTTACGAACCGAATCGAGTGGATCCAGTAATGGCATACAACAGTAAAATTTGCTGCAGTGTCACATCACTAAATGATAACACCGAACTTGATTTACAGATGGGGATTTCACTGCCTTAATTTAAACACTGGGCGATTTTGACGGTCGAACGTGACACATACGTGTGTTACATTATTGGAGTCGATTTTTGTGTTACTGAAAGTAAAACGCATGAACACATCATGTGCGCATTGAACCCAAAATATGTACATATGGAAAGAAGCCTTTATTTGATGACATGAGAGTGTTTTCTGGAGGAGTACTATCCAGTAAGGGGATTACGCTTCAGTAGGCTTTGCCCAGTAAACCATCACAATACCCACTCACTAGGCTGACAGATTTCTCCCTGCTTGTTTACAGGACCTACGCACCAAGGAGCCCAAACCACCCAAATCCGGTCGTCGAGGGCGCCCTAGGAAAACGACGAATAAAAAGCTAGAATGCCCAGCCTCTATCCAGGTCCGCGAGATCAGCATGTACACCAACGAGTGCTACTTTGTGGACAAGAAGGAGTTCAAGAACGTCAGCAAGCTGCGCTGGGAGAAGCAGCGCATCCTGAAGAAGATCCGCGAAGATGAAGGCAACGGGAAAGAGGTAACAACAGTCCGCAGGCTGTACATCAAGCTGCCGTATGTCCGAGTCCACTCCTCCCTTCATCCGGTCGGTGAGAATTCCTCCGTTAACCAAACCATGGACTACCGGGTCTCGCAGAAGCTTAAGCAGTTAATTGCCAACAACGTGACCAACATCAATGAAATCAAGAAGTGCCTAAAGCACTATGTGGATGATGTCCTCTTCAAACATAACCCACTTGAGAAGAAGCCCAAGCCAAACAATCGGAAATTCTATCCATCCCCAGCAGACCTGCAAAGGCAAATCGCAGCTGCGCTGTCCAACACAGTAGAGAATGCTGATGTCTTGGCTGAAAAGATCAAAGAGTGGCAGGCCAAGGGCACAGGCAGGTTTATGTACCGTCCCCATAAGGCCGACTCGGAGCAGTCTTTCCTGTTCGTCCATCAAGAAAAGTGGCAGCAGCGGCTGATGGAGCGTTACGGCAGTGATCTAGTCATGCTGGATGCCACCTCCAAGTCTAACACGGTGTTGACCATGGCAACACCACTGTACAGCCTTTGCATCCACACCAACGTCAACTTCATTGTGGTGGCCGTGTTTGTTGTGGAGAAAGAGACAGTCGCCAACATCAGGGAGGCTCTAGGCATCATCCGCACCTGGAATCCCTGGTGGAGTCCAAGTTCTTTCATGGTGGACAAGTGTAGCACGGAAATCACTGCTGTCAAAGAGGTCCTGCCCAACGTGCGCATTTACATCAGCGACTACCACAGGAGGCAGGCTCTGGCGAGATGGATCGGAAGGAAGGAATCGGGACTGGACGCAGAGCAGCAGAAGATGGTGACAGTGCAGATGGACAAGATTGCCTCGGAGCAGAACCAGACACTGTACAGCAGTGCCAAGAAGGAGCTTCTCAGCAGCAAGATGGTCACAGAGAATGAAGAGTTCCAGGATTACCTGCAGTCGGAGTGGTTCTCCTGCCCAGAGATGTGGGCCCATGCATACCGCGACTATGCCATAGACAACCTCATCAACGTCAACAATGGTGAGGTTGCCATGGAGCGCTTTCTTCACTTCACGAGTATCCCCAAGTCCAGGGAGAAAGGGGTGGGTGGCATTGTGACTCTCATTGTTGAGTCTTACCTTCCGGACAGCTTCAACAAGTACCGGAAGAAGAACAATGTCTGGAAGTACAGCCGATTTCCCGCACAGGCCCAGAATGTGCCGCCTGATTTACGGGACCGACCGGCACATTTTGTGCGGGAGTGCTTGCTGAGCCAGAGTGAAGCTGCCAGGTACAGCAACATCGATGTTCAGCTGATAGATGCCACACACGGGGTGTTCAACGTCAGGTCCAAGAAGGGGTTCCACATTGCCAGCTTCCTGGGTCCCAGCTGCACATGCAGTCACTGGAGGAAGTACCGCTTCCCCTGCAAGCATTTCTTTGCCATCTTCCAGCACTTTTACGAGTGGGGTTTCAATCGGCTGCCCGACCTGTACATCAACAGCGTTTTCCTGACCAGAGACACAGGTGTCTTTCAGGATCCACCGGCCGACGGGGCAGGAGTCCCCCAGGACTTCCAGCCACTTGAAATCCAAGTGACAATCTCTGGTGCAGAGGCTTGCCCAACTGAGACAGTCACGGTAGCAACTACCTCAGATGCAGGAGCCAGCTTTGCTGCCAGTATGCCCAACCCCATCCCAGTGAACTTGATCTCGATCCCGGACCTTGATGAGGGCAGTAGCAGTGCTCAGGACTTTGAGCCCAATCCTGACAAGCAGGCCAAGATCATGAATATCTTCAAGCGGGGGATGGACCTGATAACGGACATCTGTGATCCACAGCTCATCACAGAGACTGAGGAGGTCCTGAGCCATATGGTGACCAAGCTGCAACGGCGGGTGACCCACGACCACTACATGCAGAAGGCCCTACCCTCCATCAAGAGGTTAAAACCGAACCCCCCTCCGCAGCAACCTCCTCCCCAGATGCAGCCGGCTCATGACCAGCAGCAGCAACATCAAGAACAGCAACAGCAGCAGCCAGGACAAGTTTCTCTGGAGTGTGTGTCCAGCTCATACTGGTGAAGGAGATTCCCATCTGCAGTCTTATGCCCGAGTATTGCTGCAGATCTGGTGCAGACCATTCAGTCTGTATTCTGAGTCCTGAGAAAGTTTCTTGGATATCTCACACATTTTCTGCTCTGTAGGGTCATGCCCACCTGCTCTGTTGTTGTGAAGGCACTGCATTTATTGTAGTTATTTGGAGCCAGGAACATAGGGATAAGAGGATTTACCCACATCTACGTCCCAATTTCCCTTCATATGCATGTGTTCTTGACAGAAGTTCTGGTTTCAGAAAAATCAGTATTTTGGAACATGCCAACCACTGACGTATGGTGTACTCACCACTATAAAACTGTACATAGACTCCTGGCCCTCCACCATTGAAGTTTGGATTGCACACTTAGAGAAAGCATGCCAACTTTGGGTTTGTTTCAAATCCCTGCCGTGTTTTTGTCTCATACTGAAGTTGTAAGTTCAACTTGAAGTTAAGTTAGTTCAGCACTAATCCATTTTGTGCCACATAGAGAGACAAAGCAAAGATTTGCAAAAAGACCCATGTTTTTCCACAAAGGAGGGTATTGCTATAAACAGGAATCCTGCATGAATTCAACGGGGTCAGGGTAGGAAGGGCACTTGTTAAAAGAAATGTGATCTTTGATGTAATATTTTTATGTGTTCTGGTTGTCAAATTTACTCCTTGTCAGTGTAAATAGTTCATTATACATGGTAGCATGATTCAGTGTTAAAAGAAACCCTGTCAATTAAATTGAAATTCTTGCAAAGAGAAGGCAAGGAAGTGTTGTAATATATGTCCATGTCTGTAGAAAATTTATTTAACAATTAAAACTCAAGACTTTTTAAATGCTTTGATCAAAATGATTAACAAAACAACTGAATAAAATGAAAAATTCTACAACTTCTAAGTCCCCCCCCCAACAACTTTTTATAAAGCCCCAATAGAGCTCTTGATAAAATAAGGCATGTATATTTCAAGGTTTTAAGGGCAAATAAGAATGGAATGTTATTTGAAGTTAGCAATGACAATTAGTTGCCATCAACGTGATCACATGATTGCGATGATGGTGATGTGTTGGCATAGTAACAAGACCGTGCAGCCAACCACTCTGCACAATTGTAGTTTTGTTTTGTTTTTTAAACCTGTAAAAACTTCAATGCTATGTTCACTTCAACAGTGCTCTTGAGCATCAGTGAATTCAAATGCAAAACCACTAAAATCTCAAAAAAAACTCTCCAAAAGTGGCGTTTACTCTTTCACATCAGAGGGTCGGACCCATTGCTTTGTGGAAGGGTGATCCCCCCTCAAATGGGGTAACTTCATATCATACTCTGAGGGCAAATGAAGATTTGAATTTGGAAGCAACAAAGTTTCAGGATGCACTTTACCTATTCAATGCAGTATTTACACAATCTTGGACATCAGGCCCTTCACCCAATACAAAGAACTTACATTCCCTCATCAAGGCTGTAGGGCTAGTAGACTTAAGATCTCACTTGCTCTCTGCATAGACCAATTGTATTGAGAATTGCTATACTGTTTGTCCGTGAAGTTGGAGCTCAAAGCAAATTAGTAATTCACATTTTGTGACACGTTTCGGGTACAAAAAGGTTAAATATGTATTTTCAATACTGTTTTTTTTTCTTCCGCTCTTTTAGTTCACATTTCATTTTTCAGAGCTCACTTCTGCAGCAAGACAAGTTTGCAATCGTCTGAAGAAGTTTCACAGTTTTAAAGAATCGAACATTCATTAACAAGTACAGGCCAAAGGGAAAACTTTACAGTTCGATACAAAGTACACGTGTATGTGACAAGATCTTTTTAAATGAATGAATCAAAGTCTGATTGGATTGGTCTCAAAATAATCTACAAGACAGTTCAAAAAAATAAAAAAAATTCTTCCTGATTGTGCGATTACATTTTTAAATGACTGCTAAAACCAAAAATCAGTTTTAACAAAATGAGGCAGGTGAAATTGGCTGTTTTCTCAAATCAATGTCACTGAGCTTGTTCAAAGGTCATGCAAAATGTCCTGTACAGTATTAAAGTAATGAATACCTGTCTACACGTACATGTATACGTTACGGAGACATCATGTACTGTCTATAAACACTATGTGTGTGTCAAATCTCAAGCAAGCAGTCATCAAAATCTCAGAGGAATATGCAAAAGAGAAAACGCTGCTTAGTTAATCTGTTAACCCGGCTTTCACCCTTATTTTAAGCTTTTTTTTAAGGTTTTGTGTTTCTGTATATAGCGTTTAGTCTGCCTGGCCCAAAAGCTGCCAGTGCTAATCCGAGTCCGAAATGCAAATGACTTCAGGCGATTCTGACTGGTCCCCAGTCTGTTCACTGGTTCCCTGTTCGGAATCACTGATGATGACCACATCAGAGTCCTCATCATCCTTGTTGGTGGTGCTATTCACTTGCCTTGACGGTTTTCCAAACCTCGAGTTCCTCTGTTGAGGTCCTGCCTGCCATTTTGGGGAGGTCTTATATTGGGTTAAATTCTTCCCTGGCTTTAGGCTGAAAACCCTCCCCTGAGCAGTCAGTGATTTGAAAGCGGTATTACGGTCATGACAAGGACCTGAGGTGTTTGTAAAGGCTCTTGAGGGAACTACTGCCGGTGCCGATCTTTGTCGAACACACGAGTTAGCTCTGCGTGGACTGCACAGCATGCCTTTGCGACTGCCATGAGCAGATTGTGGGCAGGAGTGGTTGTGCCACTTGGCTTCTGCACACATCTGCATACAGCTGTTGCAGCGGACGTAGCTGCTGGATTCAGAGACTACAACCTCCTTGGTACATTTGATCCCGGTCCTGTTTCGTTGCTGGGCACAGGGGGCCTGCCTAGTGGCTGTGCCGGTACTAGATGCACTCTCCAGCAGCTTCTCCCTCTGGGTTGGGGCCAAGCTCTTGGCCGCTATCTCCACCACCTCTTCCACATCAGGGCTGGTGTCCAACTCAGGCTGGGTGCTGCTGACGGACGGCGGGGGGGAGGGATGGGAGGGACTGGGGTCAGACTTCGCTTTGCTTAGCTGCGTGTTGGAGTTGGTCTCAGCATCCTCGAAGCTCAGCGTGATTGGTGTGGATGTCTTAAGCTTGACTGAAGAAGCAACCAAAAAAAGGTAAAAGCATGTTAGCTCAATGTTGTCATAATTTATCAGGTTACTTATTGACTGGTTTTAACCACTTCTTGCCGGGGACTCCGGAATCGGAGACGTATGGTTTATATGCGTGGCCAGGGTCTCTGAACTCGGACAAAGGAAACAGGGTCCTGTAACAAAAGACCATACTCTGAACAAAAGACCAGGCTGCTGGGCATTACCGGCATTTTTCACTCTAAAAAGTGGTGATAATCCAGCCTTGTTTTGAAACCGTATACCAGGGTTTGGGGCATTGAGAGTGAGCGGATTACTGCCGGGGACAAAAGCACTCCACCACCGCAGCGATGAGCCACACAGCACTGCTGCACGCTAATCTGGCCCCTACTGAAAAGAGGTCAGCAGTGCACTGAGCCAGGTTCGTGAACAAAAGACAGTTATACAACACCCCACAATCTGGGCTCTGTTTACAAGGCTGCATGCCTGGCTGAAATACTCGGGCGTTAATGAAGGTCACCTGCCAACTTAGAGTAGTGCCTAAAGATTACTTCGTGCGGCTATAAAGGACCGTTAAATGAAATGATGAATTTTGGAGGGATTTTGAAAACGGAAAAAAACGATAGTCATGCCGGCCCACCATCATCAACATTGAAAAATGCCCCGGCATGAAAGTGGTTAAGAAAGGGCTTGGAGCTGGACTTGTGATGGACTGGACTCCAATGATGGACTGGGTTTTGCAATCCTGAATCAATCAATCAATCAATTTTGATTGATCTTCTTACCTCTTTTTCCTGACTGGACTACCATGATTCTTTGCTGGGTTGGTGGTTCAATCACAATGCTGCCACTCCCGTCATCGACCACCTTTGCAATGGTCGCTTTTCCCTCGTCCCAAGCCGTTTTGCCTGACCCATTAAAAAACCCAGGGTCATCAGAGAGACTGCAGACATTGGTGATGACAAGGGGCATGGTGGACGACGGCATTGCCGGCTGGGATGGTGTGAGGCCTAAGCATTCAACAGCTTGCTCTGGGGTGTCAAAACACAGCTGCGGCGACTGGGGGCACTGCGGCACTGGCGCCAGTTGTGTGCCAGTCCCGATGTTAGAGGTAGGTGCCGGATTACATACAAGACCGTGTGTCTTTTCACCAACGGAATGAATCTTTTGATCCACACCATTTTCGTTAAAACCTGTTTCAGAGCTGCCATTATGTGCAATATAGGAAGCGTTAAGGTTTGTACTGAACAGCTCCTTATGGAAGGCAGCATGAGGCACATTTCTTAGGAGAGTGTTTTTGTTAGTTGGCACTTGGGTTTGAAGTTGCTGCTGCATTTGAGAGGGTGGACTCGTTGAGCCATCCCTTCCATGACCATTGTCATCTTGGCCCCCTGTTTCATCTTCTTTGGTTTCATTCATCAAATCCTCTTGTCCATTTTCCTTGCCTCCATTTTCTTCATTCCCATTACGATCTTCATCCAGTTCAAGCCTGGCTTTTTTCAAGACAGGTGCATTCTTATCTTCTTCCGCCTCAGAGGGTCCTTCAGATGATGCGTTCGATTCCGAGTGCTCTGATGCCTCCAGATTTACTCCGCTCTTCTCACACTCCTCCTGTCGCCTGACAAAGGCATCCTCCACCTGCTTGATATTCTGCTTGGCAAGCTCTCTGTTCTCCATCAGCTTTCTCTTTAGCTCAGGGTCCCCGCCGACTTCGTCTCTGGCTTTGATGAAGTCAAGTGTGGAGTGGGCACTGAAATTGAGGAGGAAGTCCTGCTGGCGTCGTTTCTGCAGCTTGCCGCCGAGGTCCTCGAAGGCCTCCTGGGCAATGCTCTTGACCTTGTTCTTATCCAGCCCCAAGTCCTTCTTCACATTGGTCTTTTGGACAGCAATGTACACATCATGGAAGTCTGGAAAGAAGTCCCTCTTGTTGACTAGTCTCTCCAACCTCCTGTTGATCTCAGGGAAGCGCGTTCCTTTGTATCGGATTCTCTGCTCTATGACACGTCCTGTGTCCATGGCACAACCGTTCAATTTACACAGCATGTTGTACACCTTGACAAAACGTTTCCTGAGTTGGAATTCCTGAATGTGGGTGGAGTCACTCTCATCCATCTCGTCCAATGTTAGTTCCCTTTCTTGCAGTTTCTTGATTGCCTTGTCCAATTTGTGGAGCAAATTCTCCAATCTCTGAATCTGTTTCCTAGAGCCTTTGCCTTTGCTCTGCCCCTTCCCGTCTTCAGCCGGCGGCGACTTGATTGAACCGGCTTCGGCATCAGGTGTCCCAACGGAATTGCTTGCAGGGTCAGGGAGACTTGAGGAAGGTCCAGCTCCATCTTCATGGTCGCTCCTCCCTGGCTCTCCTCCAGTCCTCCTCTCAGTTGGATCTTTCTTGTCTGCAGCATATTCACCACTACTGACCGTCTCGCAGGTCATCAAAAGACTCTCAGACTGGAATTCTACCTGTTGAACCTTGTTTACATCCTGTTCATCATCTCTTTTACTCTTGGCACACTCCTCATTTGTCTGTGGATCCACTTTCTCCTCGACTACCTTCTTTATTGCTGGTTTCGCTTCCTCTGTCTTCTCAATTTTTACCGCCGTCAACTCGACTCTGCGTGTGTTGGACTCGCGTATCAGCAAAGTTTTCACTTCCTGAATGTGAACATAAACAGATTTCTTTGTGGTCTGCAAGTCGGAGATCCGTTGCCTTACGAAGTGTCTGAAGCATTCTGATTGTGTGTACGACTCCTTTGCCTCGTTGAACTTGTCTCTGAGAAGCTTGCTGACAGCCTTTTGTTGGTTGGACTTGAGAAGTGGCTGGCACACTTTGATGAACTGGTAAGAGGAATAATAACCCAAACAAGAAATAAATTGTGCACATCTGCAAATCAGATGCCAGCGTAAGTGGCACAAATGGCTCACAAGTTTTCAGTTTTGAGTTGCAGGTACCAGCATGGGCATGCAAGCTACAGAAACATACCAGCAATATAGCTGGATTTGCTTTAGAACTTCGCAATCCTCCATAATTCGTTACAAAGAAATAACTTGCAATCTGCCACGAGATGGCTGCACGCATTGAGACACTGTTACAAAGAACACATTCTGAGAATCCTAAATTTTTGCACTGTTGTGTTCTTTTTATTCCTCCGTTCCTTCTATGGCAAAGTTCTGGACATAAACAAAAGTAATTTGGCTTGTCCCTGTAACAAGAGTTGACTGCACATGGTTTAGGAAAACATGTACATACCTGTACACCTACACCCTCTGTTTCTCCCATGTTCCTGAACACTTTTTGAACTTGCAGCATTTTTCAAGTTCGAATGGAAATCAGTTTAACTTACAATTCATGTAACAGATATACCTGTACAATGTACTTGTGGTCTTGACTCCAAGACGATAGTGCCTAAAAAAAAGATCAACCTCTAACAACTCCACAATTGCCTGCACTACAATCTTGGAAGTCTTGTAGTAGGCATTTTAACTTTCTCTTTCCCCTGGGCATTTGCAGGGAACCAATCAGTGCGTGGTAGCCACCATGCAGGGCAGTTCTTTTATTCCACAGGGAAACCTCATCCGTGCATAGCCTGTGGAACAAAAGCACTGGCCTGCAAGATGGCAGCCATGCAAACCCTCTATTGTCAGTCGTGTGTTAGTAGTTAACATACAGGCTATGTGAAGAATTCATCTGTGTAGTTTGGTGATCAAACACACTAATACATGTAAGATGCAATACAGTGATGCTCTTAAGACCACTAGCATCAAACGGGAAGCCATCATTTGTCGTGTTTCTTCAAAGATGTTATATTAATGATTTAAATACACCAACTGCATAACTTACAAAGAATACCCACGCCCTCATTTCTACGAGATTCCCAAGAGGTTACTGAAAATCAAAAACAGCGAGGGCGCTGTAGGCTTACAGCAATGGTAGGACTGGGGCCTAACTTTGGACTAAAACATTTTGTTACCAGTAGCTACATGCAGAAGTAACTAGCCACACCAGGAATTCCTCAAAGTGCTTGAGTAACCTACATTGTAAATGAACTCTCTACACGAATACTGCTTATTTTCTCTTTTGTGACCTATTAGCCATCTGAAAGCATTAAAATGTCACCCCCTTGCCAACTCGCCCCCTAGCAAATTCACCTTCTGACCAAGTTGCCCCCTCAGAGGAGAGTCCGCTGGTTTGGATTACCATTAACTACATTTCTAAACGTCCTTGCAGAAAGATTTAACTTCTTAACATCATGTTGTCATTGTTTTTGGCTTGGCCCCTGATGTACATCGCCATGATATCAGCACAGAAAGTTCTTAAAAAAATTTACAGAAAAATAATGATGATGGTCGTAATGGTTATAATAAAAACAAGACCAACACAGCTTAAAGTTGAGAGTAAAGAACATTTTACATGTACGTGTGTTTAAATATAATTTAAAGTGAGATTTCACAAAATCAGTTGCATAGCCTACCCATAGGTTGAGGTATGCATGCCAAATAATGAATTCTGATAAGCGTGCTTTACAATCAACCGAACGTAAGTTTATTGAATAATTCTCAAAAATCCCTTTAAGGTGAATTCTTCAATATCCCACCTTGTGCCAGGGCACTTAGGCCTATGATCCCTTTGGAAATGTAGTTAATGGTCCAAACCAGCAGACTCTCCTCTGAGGGGGCGACTTGGTCAGGAGTCGAGTTTGCCAGGGGAAGAAAAGTAACAGCCCTTGGATACCAGTGCAGGTGAGCGCTGTTGCACAGTGAACACTTCCTGTTGAGCAACTTTGTGCACCCAACAGCTGTTGGTTGTCTTCCTTCAATTTGGGCATAAATAATGAGGAGCCCTGTGATTGGTCAGTGTGACCCCAGCGCGCCGCAGCCAACTAAGAATTGCACATACACATACGGAAAGTGGGGGTAGCTAATTTCCATGTCTTGTGCATCGATCGCAGCCATAGTCAACCATTTGGTCTCGGCTCGTCTTCGCAAGTACACATGTGAACCGCGTGACTCTCAGACACTGATCAGGAAATAATTACACCTGTTTTTTGAAAACGGCATGGTTTTGGCCCTTTTCTTTCTTGGTACTCAAAACAAAGATATGTAATCTTTCTTACATAAAACTCTAATGAAGCAACAGTTCTATGGGTACACAACTCGAATGGAATTACTTTTCGTGCCCTGTTAAACATCATGCATAGCCTATGGCGAAAAAGGCTCTTTTTCTGTGGGGTTCGTGGGAGAGAAGCAGACGTCGGTCCCCACAGTTCTGGGGGTAGAATATCCCACCACTCACCCCTCCCATATCGTAGCCAGTTACTATGTCACGCTTGACTGCTCACACATACATGCATGCACAGGTCTCGTTTTTGGACCAATGCATTGGCAACACCGCAGCCAGATATACGGGAGACTTGGTTTGGCCTTACAATTTTTTCAGCCTTCCCCATTCGTTCATCCTTGCCTTGTTTTCGGACCAACGCATTGGCGACATCATAGCCAGCAACAGGGTACTTGGTTTGGACTTACAATTTTTTTCCACTAGCCCCATGATTCATTCATCTTCCATTCACTGACCTTTTCATCATGTTCATTCCCACGTTAGATCCCATTTAGTTAGCTGGTTAGCCTTTGCCCTTTGACTTACTGTACAATCATGACAATCCACCTAGGCCCTACGTGTAACTAGCCCCACTAGTGTGGTACGGACTCTCACTCCCGCTCCATCCTTAGCCACACTTCCGTATACACAATTTCGTGTCGGTGTACTGAACATTTTCGGCTGTTCCATGTCAAGACATTTAATCTGCTGCCCAAGTTTGGTACATGTAGTATCTTATCGCTCAGTCCGTGTATTAGATATGTCTTGACATGGAATAGCCGTCGAGACGATAAGGGGTCAAGTGACGTAATGTTCAATGACCTTATTTTAGAGACGGCGACTGTGAGAGCGAGTCCGTGAGATTGAATGAATGAAGGCAAAAAGACTGGAAAATACCGGAACAGCGTGAGTGAAATCATTCAATAAATGGCACTAAGAAAGCGGAGAGGCTCAGGATCATCTCTGTGTGCAAAAGAAATTGTGCCCATAATGATACATGTAGGTGGAAGCGCCAAAAATTTTCAGTACGCCGACACGAAATTGCATATACGGATGTGTGGCTAAGGATGGATCGGGAGTGAGAGTCCATGCCACACTAGCTGACTAGCGCCGGCATGGCCGGGGGCTAACGTGTAACATGCCTAACATGATTGTGTAAGTTGCAAAATATTTGTAGCACAAGTCGCAGACTTATGCAGTACGTAACTTTCTTGCAATGAGTCATAATATTTCTCTGCGCAACTTACACAATAAAATGTGACGTAGGCCTGCCATTCCTTGCTCTATGGCCTGCCTAAGTTGAGTTAAGCCTAGCTACGCCATCGTGAAATCGAATGCTGATATCAGTTCAGGAAGGTTTGCATTGTCAGTGACTGGGCACATAGAGTGTCTCTGTGTATGGAATTCTTTCCAGGATTGTGACAAGACAGAAACTGGATATACCTCATCTAATAAATGACGTCCATCTGTCGCTTGTGGCTTGTCTGATGCGAGGATATCCTCGTCTGAACTGAGTATTTCGATTACGTCCTCTTCACAAAACGCCATTTTTATTTACATGTATGATGTACATGTACAGTGTATACCAAATGCCTCACAGCGTCATTCTCAAAACAAGCACGCTAGAGGGCGTTTTTCACCATCTCCATAGAGCTCTGTTTTTTTTTTTTTCTTTTTTTTTTTTATAGAGCTCAGCGTTCATCTCAAGGTGGTGGCCAGCCGGAGGGCAATGCAGATTTTAGTTAACCCCAGTTTTTACAATCCCCCCAAACGTGTGAAACAGATGGAAAACAGGTTCCAAAATCGAGTTGAGGTGAAAAATTGGAAAAGGTTGTCTCTCATCCCAGTTATGGGCCTATGACCCTGAGAAAGGCTGACTGTCGTTCGCCCATGCACATGTACGCAACTCTCAACTGCTGGAAATAATCGCTTGTGACTGCAAACTAGGGTTAATTTCTGTTGATTACTGTTGATTAGGGTTAGATTTGGCCAACTGTAGGTTTGAAATTCGCACACAGGGTTTACCCTTGATGGGGGGCGCAGTACAGCGACTCATGTTTTGAAACTCAGACTCAGACATTGAGTTTCAAAATTTGGGCAAGCAGACCGCCACTCTCCTATCTTTCAGTAATACCACATCATTACATCCCCAAGTCAAAATATTTGAATTCCTCACAAGTTTTCAGGCAGGGGGGTGGTTATTTCCCCCTCCATCAGTCTTGAGGCATGGAGATGAAATTTTTCTCAAGTTACTACACAGTGCTAACTTGAAAAAAAAGGAATTTCATCAATAATTATACGTTTTTTAGAGTAAAATAGAAGATTCCTAATTAATAACATTACACGTGCATGAGAAAAGATACTTTTGACCGGTTTTTCAACTTGGGTGAGTGCCAGTCCTGTCCGAAAACAAAGTTCTCCGGTGTATGTACGTGATTAATTTATTACGAAACCCTGTTTACTGATTGCATGAATCACAATCTGACAAAAGCATCAAAATCGGACATGATCCAAAAAAGAAAAATTATTTTCCATTTTATTAACTTTTACAGTCAGGATGATACATTTCCAGATCATTTCCAGACATATTGATATGGGAGATGCCCTCTTGCAATTGGATATGAAGGCCGCCATCTTGGATATACAGGTTGCAGGCCAGAAAATAAACTGCCATAGCCAGTGATACCCGAACTTTAAAAAATCAAGAAAAATACTCTCGAATTTCTCAGGCGTTCGAAACGCTCATCAAATAAAAGCCTAGTATGATTTTCCATTTTCTTTTCAAATTTCCATTCATTAACGAATGACTTTTGAAGATATTTATTTCTAAGGAAAGCCAACCCTAAAACGCAGCTGTGAAGCCCCTCGCCATTTTGAAATGTCGATGCCTACACTTCTCGAAAAGTGGACTGTTTTCAGGCCCCGATGTCTTCCAAATTTCATTCAGACACAAGCTGGTATTCTCTTTGCCCGCCTAAACCTTTCTTTTCTACAAATCATCAAGTTCACGGGCCACAAAATGCTCTATTTCGTCGAGAATGTGAATGCAGACAAATTGTGATTTGGTCCGGGCACGCACTGATTTTTCGACCTATTTACTGGCCTGCATCCTTTTCGCACTAGTAGGAAACAGAAATAGCGCCACATTTTGACACTGTGGAATCGAGCAGCAAAGTGTGCTACCCGGGAATTACTATCATAAACCGGTGGAACAACGTTCTGTTTTAATTTTATGAGTGCTAGCGACGTCATTTTTTTACACCCCCCCCCCGACATGCACCCTTGAAAAGCAATCAATCTTCGGGCCAAAGTCTGAAAGTAGCCGGGCCGCCCGTCATTCAAAAAGGCCCACAAATTTCTGGCTTTTGTAGATAAAATACCCCGACTCGGAAGTCAGCAGTCCTCCAATGACTGAGTTGTTTCTATAATCGGTGGGGACTCCTCATTTGCACCTCCAATTATTATAACTCGTTGGATCACAAACTGTCATGCATATGAGCTCACACGCAGCAATTATGTTCGTGGTTTGCACCCTAAAGATTTGCAGACCTTGAGTGTGCAAACCACTTATTCGAAAAAGCGCCATGACGCCGCACTCACACCATCCTAAGCTTGACGCGCGCATGCAATTGACTACTTTCACAGCGGAGCTGTTTTCATGGGGTTGTGTTGGTTCGCGTTCCAAACCTCACTTTCACTTTTCTTTCTCAAAAAATGTAGCTTAAAACATGTAGATACAATTTGTCATAAATTTTGAATTATTCAAAACAAAACTTGGCGTGAATTTGTATTGAACTTATATTTCGTCACATTTATTTCAACTTTCATGTTCGAAAAACGAGAAGTTTTCCTTCGTTTTCAATTCAAGACTTGCCTGCACATGAATACAATATATTAGCAAACCACGATAGGTGATTGGTTGAAGAAGCATGTAAAATGCGCGCACCAGCCCCCCCCCCCGAGTGTGCCACTACAGGGCCGAGATGCCAGTTCTTCTCACTACAGAGGAGGCAATTTATCTCATCTCCGATACATGAAACTGTTCCGGGAAACTTTTTAATTTTAAGGTCAATCAGTCTTTCTGTGAAATCATCTGCTCAACGTCAATTTCCATGATGTAACACTAAGTTCATCAGGTCAGATTGAGATTTTATAATTTTTCTCCTCTACTCCTCTCTCTCTCTCTCTCTCTGGTTGCATTCCCCAATCCATTATAGCCTTGTATAAATTTCAGTCCGAATTAAATGGGCTCAAAGGCTGAGAAACTTACGTTTAAATTCAGGAATCGTTTCTACGTCTTTAGTCCGGTTACTTTTTTAACCGCAAGCCTCTTCAGAGGGAATGCAAGACTGCTACCTGAATTTATTCAAGCTTTTGGCATCTAAAAAAATTTCTGAAGGCACTTTCGATGATCGCTTTAAAATGTTAAGTCCATTAGCACAGAGACTTGATAGCGCGGCTTGATACTTCGGTCAACTTCCCTTTATTTGATCTAAGCTGAGATTTACCCGAGGTTTAGATCACAAATTGTGAAAAGGTTTTTGTGCAAACAATAGCCATTAATTCTTCGATTAACACAAAGCCACAGTCCCATAGCGTTGACGTCCGTAGAGATGACACAGTTTAGAAAGACCGGTGCTCAGCTCACGGCTCACTGTAGTTCGTCCCTTCACAAATGAAACCAGTTCGCGTATCAAGCCCAACGATCTGTCACCGATGCGGTTCTCATGCTGACGAATATGCTCTGAACACCTGGGCAAGCCTAGGTGTTATGCCCGGGCACTTTTCGTCGACTTTTCCGCGGTGTTCAATACAACTGGGCCCTACAAGCTTCTTCAGAAACTACTCAACTTAACTGTCCCACCAGCCATTGCGGTATGGATTCACGACTTCTTCACCAGTGGACACAAAAAGTGAGGGTCAACAGTACCCTTTCCAATGAAATCACTACTAGTACCAGGAGTCCACAAGGCTGCGTTCTATCTGCAACTGTTTTTGTAGCGATTGACTGGCATCTGCGATGTCCCGTCTGTAAACTGAAATATGCAGATGACGCTGCCATTGTGGGGTTGATTAAAAATGAAGAAGAAAATGACTACAGGATGATTATAATGACCTTATCGAATACTGGTGTAAAGAAAACGACCTACTCTTCCTGCTCAAGGAAATAAAACACATGACTTGGGACTGAGGTTGATCTTCCTGTTTTTACTTCCTCAATGCATAGCTCCAACCTTTCTTCCATCTGTCATGCCTAAATTGGAAAAGTGGATGGAAGATTATGTATTGACCAGATCAGTACGTTCTTTGACGAATGACATAAACCACCAGTGAACTAAAAAAGCACTAACTTGTGCAGGCGAATTTACAACAAACAGTATAACAAAATATTAAAAAAAACATCCCAAATTCGTTTGTGGTAAACAGACCATTCAAAAACAAATTATGTGATCTTGTTTGGGATTTGATTTACACCAGATTTATAGTCGATGGGCCGTTAAATTCAGTGGGTATTTTTGGCTTGCTAAATAGGTTATTATTTCCGCCCCGAGTTACACATCACTGCATCTGGGGGACTTTCCTGTTTTAATAGCAGCTAGGACGGACGGAATTGTTCATGCCTTGCACACGTTCCGATCTTGTGCAAGTAGGAGGTTCCACCGTCGCACACGCATTGTTCCGCGGTAATACAAAGTTAATCCTTCCATGGGCGAAAATCTGTAGAAAGTTTTCAAAGGGGTGCTTTCGGAGACACTAGCTAGCGTTTTTTCCCACGCTCGTAGAAAAAGGGCTGGTAAGTCGAGGACATGGGTGTCAGCGTTCCACACGTGACGGCACGCGGTTGCAGATCCCCGCTCGTAAATGGAAGAACAGTCATGTCTAATTTAAAAAGCTATCTGCTTCGGAGATACACCGACGGCTAGTGGGCGTTGCACGTGCTTGACGACGGTAAAAGGTAAACGGGGACCGTGGACTTAACACCAGTTTGGGACCCTGCGGATGTCGATCAGCCCAGAGAGGGAAGAATGCCTTTTATCATGGTAATATTGACGACCTTTCGTCAGAGCTTAAATAATTCTTTGCGGGCCACGGCTTGCGGAGCTGTACATTGTGGTGCGCTTAGCAGCTCATAACATTAGGCTGGATAATTGAGTGAGCAGAATGCAAGTGGACGTCGTTTTTTTTCCCTCCTCCGTGGACTGGCGCGGCGTTAGTGAGGCCACATGCCTGGGATCGCTTCGCCGTATTGTATCTCCACGAGCAAGGCATAATCCATGAGAAACCAACAGTTGTACGTTTGGAAGGGGTTCGTTCGGATTCTCTTATAAAGGTGCAGTCAGTTTTTGAAACTTGTCCGTCTGTCTGTGGATGTAACATGTCCTCAACTTCTTTCCACTCGAACCAGCAACGCAATTTTCACGAAGCTGTGCGGAGGGGGGATCCCAAGGAGTTAGCCCGCCTGCTCAGGGGCTCCATCAGCGGTGCGGTCAATGTTAACGTCTTCGATGGAGAGGGCCAGACGCCGCTGCATCAGAGCGTCTTGGTCGGCAACTTGGAGCTCGTCAAACTGCTGGTACAATTCGGCGCCGACGTGCGACTAGCCAACCGGGATGGTTGGAACGCCCTGCACATCGCCGCTTACGGGGGCCACGACGATATCGTTCTCTACCTCATCCGCAGGCGATGCGGGGGCGATCGGAAACGATGACGGCAGGAGTTGCATCCTGTATCATAACACGGATAGACGTAGCTCATATCTACTTTTTAAAGATCCCTCCCACGACGGTTCTTCTCGCTTAACATTCGGCGTTTGCTTGATAAATTTTGCACTCCGCTGTCGTTTGGGACTGCACCGTTAAAACCATGCTCAACGGAGCTAAAGATTCTCCACCATATCTCACCGGGAAAACCCCTCATGATGACCCATGCGACGAGGTCCACAGCGTCCAGGGAAGTCAAGTACCTAATGACAGCGGCTGAACTTTCGATTTCAACGACACAACTTCGCCAATGTGATGTAAGTGTCGACTTGGCTGCATCCCGTTCCTGCTAGTCATATTGGAAAAAATGCTTCCGGAGCGAAAGCGTTGTGAGGACGGAAAAGACTCAAAGATTATTGTTGTGCCGGCAAAATGGACCCGTACCCTGGACAAACTGTGTCCCCGTTGTACGGGCGGGGCAAAAAATAGCAGTTGTTGGTTACAGAATGGATGGCACAATGTAAAGGAAATTATTCCTATAAGGTCATTCGGGGAATCCGTTAGTTCATATTCAATATGTCGCTTTCTCTTAAGGCTGTACACTTCAAAAGCTGTGGTGTTAAATTTGTGTTAATCTTACACCCTGGATTTTATCAGAGGAGTACACCCAGTCTTCTGACGACACCAAGGGTGTTTAATTTACACAATGATTTCCACAGTGTACATTGGAAAACATTGTTTTCGAGAAATATTGAAAAGGAGACCACGTGATGCACGATGCGAATCACATTAGTTCAGTACGTATCATGTTTTAATAGAACAGCACAATAATATTATGAACTGCTTGTTTGAATCTTTTTTTTTTGTGACTGGAACATTAACCTCTGTCATCGTCAATATTCTCCAGTGAAAAAGAGGAGAACGTTATTCGTATAATGCCATGGGGAAAAACACGGTGTCGTCTAATCTACTTGTTTTTATCAAAATGAGTAAGATGAAGTTGTTTTCAAATTACTTGGACGAGACAACTGCAGTTTTCTAAACCATGGTTGTGTTAAGTATATCAGAGAAATATGGAAGGGCTGCGTAGCACCGTGATCGGAATATCGACGAGAATATAATATCAAATCAGTGCTCTGAAATATGCCATTGTCGAGCTTTCGGTAAAATCATAATCATAATATCATAATTTCATAATATCAATTCAGAGCACTGATTTGATATTATATTCTCGTCGATGTTGTGTAAAGTATTATGCGCCAAGGTGGTCACTCGAATGTTTTGCACTGGAACGAAGCCCGTGTTTTCGTCAGTGGATTGCGTCAACCAAGGCGCGGGATAAACTGTGGGTGAGCACTCGTAAAGTTACCTGAACACGGATTGTGAGTGTATCTTGTCAACCTAAACCTTTCTTGCATCGAAAAAAACTTCAAAATGGAAACAAATATCGATTTTGCTGGGAAGCCACCTAGGGGTCATTGCGAATTTTCCTTCGGTGACTTGGATCAGTCCAACCGAACAAAAGTCCTATCCAGAAAGGGGGGGGGGTTCTAATCTTGACCTGGAATTTTGATCCGATCAGCATAATCTATGATCTCTCAGTGGGCCAGACTGAGAGAGAGGAAGGGGTGAATATGGGGTTTCCATGGCCCAGCCCCTTAGCAACTAAGTTTTGTAGTGTCATCGAAATTTCTGTAGCCTATTGTCTCGTAATAGACGCCTTATCGACGAAGGGTACAAAGTATCACGACAAAAAGTTCAGTATTAACCAGTTTTCAAAATGTTTTCGTCTAGGTAAACATATATTTTTGAATGATATCGATTTCGGTGCTATAAACTCCCATAATTTGACGCGTACTGAGTAGGCCTACATGAATTCAGTAGACTGAGCTTTTTTTAATTTACATGCAGTGACAATGCTGCTTTCCCCATAATAAGATTATTGTTACTCTCTGCATACTGACCATAAAAGAAGCGGTGCTTGCTGTTTCGAAGCTTAACAGTGAACCTCATGTGGCATGTAATGTATCGAATATTATGATGCACCATACCACTGATCTTCATGAAAACAATGTGGGTGGTTCGTTGGTCATTGTAATCCGATCAATGCATAAGAAGCTGTGTACTGGTTCCCTGATCCGTCTATGGGATTGTGCAGAGAGAACCAGTCTTAACCGCATCGATTGTAAAAACTTGAAAATCTGTTGTTCGTTGAGTAGCAATAATTGATGACAGAAACTCCCCTTCTAACAGTAGGCAGCCTTCAGTCCATCTTGGCATTATTTGATACAGCTGCTTAGAAGCAAAATATTGCTCACCATATTTATTTGTTGAGGAACAAATCAACAGAGAACAAGTCACAAGAAATGTGTACTGCGTGACATATTTGATAGTGACCGCGACTTTTTTCATAAGAAGATATTTTTATGATAAGCAGGGTTTTTTTTCTGTGGCATCAGTATCAGCTGAAGTTACCTCAGGTTATTTGCATGGGCATCAGTGGTGTGATGATGTGAACCGGGCCTGCCATGCATGCATATGAGGACACCTGACCTATGAACTGGGGTACTTCAAGGTTGCAGACTGAATCGTCTAAAATGATTGTTTCGAGCTGAGACGACGGTTAGAGGTTCAAATAGCTGAACCACATTATTTTGAATTTGAGGGGTGATAAATTTGGCCAGGCTGCCTGTGCTTTGTCGGATTAGTATATAGAGCTCCAGCCAACTCAGTAGTCAGGTGGTTAAGTGTAGGTCGTGAGTTCCAACTCAACCCGAGAAATCTGTTGAATTCAGTACTTACTACACACCACTTAACACTCGACATCCGTTAAGGCACTCGACATCTGTTAAGGTACTAGACATCTGTTAAGGAGTGTTAAAATTATAAGTTTTTATCGGAAAATAATTATTGTTTGCAATTTAACGATTTCATTACACCCCGCGCTATTGCTTTGCCATTCGCTATGTCCTTGTGGTATGTTGACATTGATTGTGAGTTGGCTTTTCTTGAATACCCATGTAGAAGGGAGAACAGATCGGCAACACCAGGTCCATGGTCACCTTGCATTGTTCAACAACCATTTGTGCGTGTGTTTGTCAAGTCATGCCACCAGGGGAAAAAATGCAGGGATTTCTTTTGAAAAAGGCTGGCTCGCGTTTGGGTGCAAGGAAGCGTGCGGTGACAGAAAAGGGTGCCGTTGTTTATCTAGCGATTCACGGGTTAACGGGGTCCCTGTGCCCCGCTAGCTAGGGGCCCTCCGGAGCCCTGACTGTTTGCCCAAGCCTTTCTTCGCTATTTTCGCTTCTGCTTGGATTGGGGGACGCAAAATAAGTTGCAAGGCCACTTCTGGGTCACAGAACCGAAGCCAAAGATTCCTTGCCCTTTTCAAAATGTGTTATGACAATAACGGAGGACTTGTGTTGCGGTTGCGGTCTGCGAGCACCGCGTTTTGGTGTTTTTGGTGTGTGTGTTTTTTTTTTTGGTTTTTTTTGCATTTAGTATGGGATAAGATGCATTTTACTTCTCCATCTTTTGTGTTCAATATTAGCCTGACTTTTCAACACTCATCGGCCAAGATAAATTCAAAACGGTTTGTAAGTTCCATGGAGTTTTTGTGGCACATTCAAAATTCAAAGACTGTTTCTTTACGAGTTTCTCAACTACTTACAGCAGTACAGCATGCAATAAAGCTTAGGTATTCAGCTACTCAAGCAAACGTGACTTGCCCTCATTTTAAATTTATACAGCAGTTGAAATTTGAGGTAATTTGGAAACATCATCAAAAAGTAGGAGAATCAATTAGGACTGGAGACTGTAAAAGCCTGCTGAATCTTAGTTCACTGTCGCCATTTTTGTGCGCCTCCAAGAGTTTGTAACGCGTTGACCAATCACAATGCGAGAAATTTGTCAGCCCTTTCCAAATGTTCGCACAATGTGATTGGTCAAACGCATTGCAAACTCTTGGAGGCGCACTATTGTGAAACGCCCATATTTAAAGTGTGAAATTGTAAAAACTTATCTCTTCACAGATTTTTGTAACAGATGCTTTTGTTCTGGATCATCATCTGGCATGACGACTATAGTTATTTATGGGAATATTTAATGTTTGTAGAAACTGTAAAAACAATGGAACTCGGAGTATTCAGTCTTTCTGTGGCCAGTGAAAATGAGCAGCGTTAGACTCATTTTTTTCTATAGCCTGTACCAGTATTGTTTTAACATTATTCATCGCACAAAATTATATTCACTTTTATAACACTGCCTTTTTAAATATAACATGAGTATTTAGTCATGCAGTTAAATTGTGGTTTATCATCACAAGTATATTTTCATTCGTTATAAACTTCAAATGTAGATTTGTTAGGAGCTGAAATTGGAGAAGTCGCAATACATGTTATAAAAGATTATTGTACGCCATGCTGCAAATCAGTGGCAAAAAATAAACGCTGCTTATTCGACACGTTCGAAACGATGTTTTCCTGAGTTGACCATAAATTTTGGGAGTAAACATATCTCTGTTTGGGTTGCCCAAGTTGAGAAGACAGAGTCCCCTTTTCCGTTATGCGAAAATTTTTCCCCTCACAGAAACATGCGCACTACTATCATGGCCGTCAGTGAGGAAGGACAGATGCTCCCTCTGAAACAAAAGGAAAACAAAACAAAACAAAACAAAAACAAACAAACAAACAAACAAACAAAAACACAGAGCGAAGAAAGGGGATGAAAAACACCCGATTCATCTGTCTGCCCCCTCCCCCCCCCAAAAAAAAATCCCCCTGAAAATCCTGGTGACGCCCGAGCGAAGTGTTATACATGTAAGTCCCTGCCCAATATAGACAAGGTGCCCGTGCAGTTTAAATGAATGATGCGACCAAGAAGCACTCCTTTAGGGAGGGGGCCAGTGAGTCGTCTACGGGCGAACTCTGTGTCTCCCGTACGTTATGGTTGCACGTCCTCTTTGTTGGCGATTTCTTGGGGCAAAGCGCGTGGTCCGGTCGTGCCGTATATGGAATCACGGATTCCTCCATAGGGGGCGCATTTTCTAACGGTTTCTAATCGGAACGAATATAAATACCTAAACATTTTGCCAGTATTTATTTATTTAATGTTACTGTGGAAAAGTTTTGAGCTACATCTAGCTGAAATCGCAGTTGCAGAGTCCAAATTCTTGAAATCTAGATCCATATACCACAATATAACACAAAGCCGAAGTTCAGAAAATGGAATGACGTTTCGCGCGCATTATGTAATCTGGCAGACGACAATTTCATGACAGTGTGACACGGAGAAGTACTGAATCCTGGCTGGCGTACGCGAAATATTCAGCCAGGAGTATTTTAAATACCTCTATCAAATTCAACGATTTTGAAGGGGAACCATGGCCACAGAAGATGACATTGCAAAGGTTTGTTTCTCATTTTTGTCAAATTCATGAAATTTCTAAACTTTCAGCTCGGTGTCACGTCGCCTGTTCACCTATGGTTCACCAAGGTCCAGCGAAACGGCACTTCTACATTTTATATCCGAAAGCGTGTATAAGTGTTTGTTTTCATTTAATGATTTTTGTGCCCTTTTTGTGCGTCAAATTCCATATTTTAAAAAGCAGTTGTGTTGAAAAAGAAGTGAAATTTGTGTTAGTACCATTTATTATGTCTGTTTACATCGAGTTTTGGGTGTATAGTATGATGAAATTAATGTAAGATCGGAGCCAAGTTATAGTTATACTATACGTCAACAACTGTGTGCGGCCATCTTTGTTTGTTGACGTACATAGTCTGGTCTCGTCTAAGCCGAATATCTCGCGAGAATCAACCGGGTTTGGAACAATGGTGTCATTATCTTGTAAAGCTTAAAATACTCTTTCATTTGATGTATGACTCAAGGAATTTCACTGGAGCACCTTCAAGCCTAGCCCAGGTTGGACGACGGGCCCTATATTGCGTTGCGACTAACGTCCAGGGTATAAAAGTCCTGCTACTATGCGAAATATTTTCAACAGTTTTTCTCACATTTTTACCCGACAAAGACAGCTCAAAAAGTCGTTCACTATTGCCTTGTATCCCGAATTCCATAAATGCTGTGATGAAATTACTAAATACGCCCACGGACAACGTATTTTGCAGAAAATTTTGCAAAATTCCACGCTTTCCGTCGCAATTCATAAACGATCTATGTTCCTGCCGTAGTACACATTTGGGCATGTGTGAAATGGCCTCCAAGCTCGGCTCACATTCTATCAGTTATGCATGTTGTCTAGAGGTAGGTCTAGGTCTTCGCTACATCAGAAATACGTGGAGATGTGCAGGCAAATAGACCTAGCGGTATCTTTGGAAGCCCGTTCGGACACGGCCGTATCTGGGACTTCTTGACGCCCACGGCTCTTCTGCGCATGCGTAAGGGGCACTCGGTTACTATGCATTTCGCGCATGTGCAAGTAGGCGTGCATGCTAGACGAACATGTGTGTACACATGCGTATACATGTAGATTGTTAATGAATTGCGACTGTACATGTACATACATTGTATGTACTGTAGGCCTACATTTACCGTACATCTACAGGTATCTTTGGCATAATGATACATGTAGGGCCTACACGCACCATGCCACTGTCATCTTGGACTGGTCCCCATCCCTATTGATTTATTCATAAGCTGTGAGACGTCTGGGCACTACACGTATGTAGGGAACAGGGGACCTGTGTGATCTCCAGGGTGCGGAGCCGGAGGAAATCAATATCAATTTCCGTGATATTGCAAAGGAAAAACAGGAGGGAAATGCTACCAAATGTTATTTTCAAAGTGAATTAAACAATGAATATGAGTTGTCATTCCTAATTTGGGTTCATATTTATTTGATTAATTGTGCAGAAACGATCAAAAATATTCGTTTGTTTTATTTATTCATTTTTTTTACCAAGAATTGCCTTTTCTGCTTTCTAACCCCAAATCAGCAATTTTTGCGGATTTTCCGCAATGCAGAAAGCTCTGGACATTAGGGTACATCAACAAAATATATTTAGAAGTGGAGTGTGATGCATGTTCATCTTCAAGCGTCGCTTGAGCATCGTTTCATAGTTACATCGTTCCTTGGTCACTTTAGCTTTTCAGAATCGCATTTCTCTAATGCCAGTGGGAAACAAAAATGGATGGAAATGGTGTTTTTGTGACTAGAGTCCACATTTTCACGCTTTTGGTTATGTACAAAGTCTCTGGGAAATGATTGGGGCAAAGTGGACATGGACATGATGGACAAAGTGGCGGCGTGGCAAGGTACGAAAGTGGAGAATAGGGCAAAGTGACCGACAACTGCACAGGCGTATTGAAGTATTTTTAAACCTGTCTTCCGAGATACTGAACCCTCTGCCGTTGAAATAAGCAGGCGTTCCCTTCAAATTCATGCCCAGGCTTTGAAATGAACATGTAAACGTGTTGATGTTTAGGACACAAAATTGTTTCACTGGTCCGATGCAGAATTCTAAAATACTGAAAATAAGAAAAGAGACAACTTAAACATCAAATTGTTCTTCAATTCCATAAAAGTTTATAGACCTACACAAGAACACAGCAGGTTTATTATCATTTTCTTTGATGATGATTTATTAAAATAATTTTGTTTTCACACCTCAGTTTCACAAGGATGGGTATGTTGTTATCAAGGACTTTCTGACCCCTGAAGAGGTCGACTCGCTGAAAAGGAGTTGCTGTGACATCGTGACAGACATGAACCCTAAGGATCACACAATGACAGTTTTTGACTGCCGAAACCAGGTATGACTTACACAGACCGAAACTTTCAAAACAGTATCACCAACTTTGTCAGCTGTCAAAATGCTCCCAACATTTTCGTGAGCCAAACAAGGTCTTCAGTACTTCAACTGTCAATTGTGAGGTCTCAATTCAGCTTTCAAACATTACCGACTTTTCTGCCACATTTTCCATTACAGAGTGAAGTCAAGCAATTTCAAATTGAAACCTGAGACTCAGCGGGTATTTCTCGTACTTTTTTGGAAAGACTGATCGTTCAGTAGTCTGGTGGTATAGAGAAGGGTTAGAAAGACAGACTGGGCACTGATAGGTTTCATTATCCTCATTAGGGGTTGAGACTGTCCGTAAAGTACGTACGTACAAATGCCGACTTTTCAGACCCCTCCCCCTGTATGGCGTACACAGTGGCTCCAACCCCCCCTTCCCCGTACGCGTACACGTTCCACATATCTTTTGACTTGCTTTAGCATCACTGAATTTCACATTGAGTTGTACATCTACTGTAGTACTGTTATTCGCACGTTGCTTCCAATTCTTAAATAAATGACCGAAGTAATCACTGGTTTTTATATCGGTATCTCTTTATTAACGGCCCTAGAAAATATTTACTCTGCGGTTTAAAAAAAGATGTTGTTGAATAAAAACAAAAATAATCCCGGTGCCTTTTTTCTATTAAGCACGTAAAGGGCATAGGTCTGTACGTTTCTGGAAGGCGCTGCCAATCTTTGTGTTATGAGTAATGTTACGGTTTACTGATAATGGGCGTTGGCATAAGAGGATTAATGGTGAGGTTGATAGTGGAGGATACTGTGTTTGAATTGTTTTTCAATGCACAAAAGCTGATTTTATTAGTTATCACAGAAGCGGCAGTGGAACACGGAATAATGTAGTGCGTCTGTGTCCCGTATGCCACGAGGCCGCTTGTTATACCGGTACGAGCATGAGGGTGATAACGAACTTATCTTCAAACAAACTTGACGCGCAGTAAAGAAAGTAAAAGGGCCTATGCGTGCTTTACATAAAAAAATAAGACAAAAGATATCAATACGGCACACAGCAAGAACAGTAACACTGATGTACATGTACCCTTCTAAGAAAGAAAATTGTTAGACTTCTACATGCATTTAAACACATGTGACGATCAACACGGGCAATCACACCACTTTTAATTTACAGTCATGCAGATGTGCATTTGCTTTTAGCATTAAAATAGCGCAGTGCGTTAAGTTAGAACAGTGCATTACACATACACGTCCGTAGGGCTTGATACGAACCGTGCAATACGGTTAGATATCACACTGATGGTGCCATGGATCAGCCGATCAGAACTAAGAATGTAAGTTTGCTTGAAGATAGTGGAATTTGTTTGTATGAGAAAGTGTATTGATGGGATGAAGATTCATTAAAGGTAAATTTTCGGTTTGCGTACGATATGCACTGGTTAGAACCCCCCTTTCTCTCTGTACATGTATGTTTGGTGTACACAATGGCACCAACCCCCCCCCTTCATGTGTACGTACTTTATGGATAGCCCCTTACGCGTCAACCTTAGACTTTGTCAAGTGAGAAAATGTGAACTACATGGAGGTTATGACAAACTTCATCTTCAATTTATATTCTTTGGATGACAGACTAGAGACGATTACTTCCTGACCAGTGGGGATAAAATTCGATTCTTCTTTGAGAAAGGAGCTGTCAGTGACAATGGTAACAAATTATGTTTCGAGTCGTAGCATTAGAAGTGATTCCTCGTTTTTGTCAGCTTTGAACAAGCTTAGCACCAACAGTCAGATGATGTACAGTGTTTAATTAAAGCATTTGTATACAAATTACTTATGGAAATTATTTTAATTATTTCTGTAACGTAAATGTACATTCCCACAAAAAGTGAAGATTTGCATTTTCTTTAAACTGATGAACCAGAACTACCTAAAGTAAAAACCACCAAGGTAGTTTTCTATGCTTAATTTTGTTATTGTTTTAAAATTTTCTTCCCCAGTTGGATTGGTACCGGGCCATATGCACAAGATAGCGGCTTACAAATATCCAAGGTTGATTTATCTGATAATGGATCAAGTTCTTGTTTGATATTTGCTCCTGTTGGGTGAAATTATGTAAAAACTTGATTTTGTGTCCTCAACACTCTGCAGGGGAGCTGACCATTGATAAGCACTTGTCTCTCAATAAAATTGGCCATGCCCTGCATGAACTCGTCCTTGAGTTCAAGAAGGTCACCCATAACCCCAATGTCCAGGTGAGTTGGGGAGTGGGGCATTGAAATGGGTAATTCTGTAGTTGACACACTGAAACAATGGGACGGAATCTTCTCTCTCATGTGAAGGTTGTAAGAACCTAAACTCTGGTGCTGTTTTTTCACTGGCGGTGTCCTTCCATCTTAAGAGATTTCCTTTGAAATTTGAAGTATAAAATGGAAAACTGAACTTGGCAAATAAAAAGTAATTCTGCATGAAATACATGACAATTGGAAAGCTTGGGCCTTGCTACATGTATGTGTAAACAGTGGCTGTTTTCCAACATCACTGTCTTTACAACGGTGCTCAGCATGGCCATATTCTGCTCCAAATGGTTGACCAAAAACCAATAATGAGACAGGATTTCAGCTCAGTTTGCATGGCTCATCCATTTGCTCAGCAACACTTGACCTGATTTTGCTGTTGGTCATCCTCTCCTTGTCTAGGATGTTGCCAGGAAACTTGGCTACATTAAGCCTGTGATTGTGCAGAGCATGTACATCTTCAAGCAGCCCAAGTTCGGTGGAGAAGGTAAAGATTTGTACAAAAAGTTTTCTTTTCTCATTTGCACTTTCCAGATTAATCTTGAACATTGGTAGTCCCCATTGAATGCCCATCTTTTGAGTTCATTACTTTTCCTCTAAATAATGTTGGCTCTTCTGGTTTGTCCAGTCAACTTTCAATAAGCTGTGTTTGAATCTTTTATCTAGGGTTATGTCTAGGTCCTTGCTGGTTGCAAATACCAGAGACATGAGACATAGCCATAGCTCTGAATGCCTGTTTCAGAAATAGCTACATGTTAAAGTTCCCCAACCCCACAGTTTAAGGAATAAATCACATCGGTATTCCAACTGCCCATACTCAAACTTACATGGGTCATTCCATAAGGTTGGGGCACAATTTGTGACGGTGTCCATTGTTTCGTGGATTCCGTAAAAATGAACAGCTATTTCCCTGCATGTGGATTCCAAATGATACGTCTTGCAAGGCTGAATACAGAGGTGTGTGTTATTTTTACAGAGTAAATGACCTACTCTATAGGTCATGACGGGTGGTAAAAGTTACCCATGTAACAAGGGCACTGTCACAAATTGTGCCCAACCTCATGGAATGACTCACATGTATTAGCACATCTGAGGCTATTTGGGACCAGTAGCACGCACATATGTGTGCACTAATCTCTCCTGTCAGTGCAGTCAAATGTCCACTCGTGCATGCTCTGTTCCCGAAAGACCTTGCCCATGTGCAGTACTGTACTGGCTCATTGGCAGTGTAGTGATTGAAGCAAGACAAGCGCATCCTGACCTCTAGATTGAAGCTGGTCAGCGAGCGTCTGTCAGTGCTGTAGAGTCAGGTGACTACCATCAACCAATCCACAGCTTTGAATTTTGAGATGTACAAAATGTCACATCAAATAGTCTTGTATTCCTTACATCAGGAAGGACTAGCTTGTAGTATGATGTGTGATGCTCATCCTAGCTCACTGTTGTTTTGGAAGAGCTGTTGATTCACCAACTGTTTAATTATGTTCCCTGGCAGTGCCCCCACACATGGATGCTAGCTTCCTGTGCAACGAGCCACTCAAACTGACGGGCTTCTGGATAGCCCTTGAGAAATGCACGCTGGAAAATGCCTGCCTCCAGTTCATTCCTGGTTCCCAAGGCAGTAAGTGGAAATCACCACACAACAGCTAAATGTAGGAACCCACAAACTCGTGCCATTTTATCTTGTGCTTGTGTTGGAAAGCAACCCAATTCTACTGTGGACGCGGGTCAGCTTCGGCATAGATCAAAATAACTCAAACATCTCTCAGACCTACAGCTTTCCTAGGAAGAGCAAATTTCCTGGACTTTCAATTCCAAAGTAGCTTGATATCTCCTTAGCTGTTTTTTCTGACATCCTAGTTGTATATTCACTATGTGGAGTTCCAGTTGGTTTATATGAGAGTTTTGTTTGTCAATCCTGATGAGTCATGATGCATTTACCTTCAAATGTTAGCCAAACACCTCTCCATTAACATACAGTCTTATGTCTATTTTTCCCCCAATCTTCTTTAGTGGAGGTGAAGACTCGCATGATTCGAAATCCCGATGGGGATGAACCATCTCTCATTTTCACTGGTGACCGTAACCTGGACATGGATCCCAACCTCTTTGTTCCAGAAGAGGTTGAACCAGGTAGGCTTGCTGTAACCAACTATTTACAAGCAGTGGAGCCACTATACCAAGGTGTATATATTGCATTCATCCCAAGGGTGTGATTTTGATTTGTTAGGACAAGACCCCAGCACTTCATGCTTCCTGAGGGTTTTCGTAAAAAACGCAACTTGCCAACTTGGGTAGGACTAGCACTCAAAGCACCTGCTTATGTATTACGTTTTTCTAAGTACACTCATGATTGCTTTTCTTAAATTCCCTTGAAAGCATGGAATGTTATACATTAATCCAACCCTGTAGTTGACTACTTACATGAAAAAGCTCTTAAAAGCACTGATGGCAATTCCTCACCATACCCAACCAACCAATCAACACCAGCAAGCCCTTTTGGTTGAACAGTGAAAGATCTGCATTACTACGGAGGAGGTCCTATGTTAGAATCCCCCCCAAGTCAGCATATCAATGAGTTACAAGTGCTTAGAAAAAATTGAGCATACAGTGATCGTAACAATTTAATCGTGATCGTAACAAATTTATTAAAGGCAAAACCAGGAAGTTAATGCAACCCCCAACAATGACTCACTTGGGGGAGAGCCTCCGTCTGACTGGTTTGTTTATATTTTGACCCAGGAACCTGCATACTCATTCACGGCCAAGTCATTCACAAGAGTGAGGAGAACCGTTCAGACAGGTCCAGGCACATCTACACCTTCCACATTGCTGAATCCTTGGACAGCAAGTGGCATGAAGGAAACTGGTAGGAAGTTTCTTTGAAAACTTTTGACAAAAGCAGTTGGGTCCAGATTCTGAACAAATTACAAGGTTGGTCTCTGGGATAGATCAACACTAAAACCCTGATCTACCAGGCCTTTTTCCCCAAAACTTTGGTTTTTCTTTATGCTCAAGCTCCACTGAGGTCCAGCTGCGCAGGTTTTTAGGTCCTGATTTATGGATTCCAAATTTCTTGGCTTTCTGCGTTGAGCACTTAGAATCCATTTGCAGGCCTCGTCTGAATCAGCTGGCTACAGCTAAGAGAAACACGTCTTTGGGGAGTGGCTGTAGCCTTTAGCCAGTGGCTTCCATAGGCACACATGTTATTCTCAGCCACAGCCATGTTTGGATACACCTTGCAAGTGGCTTCCTCTAATCCTAGCTAAGCAGAGGAAACATCAGATTTTAAATTTGGGATTGAGGTTTAAATTTGAGTGTTGTTGCTCGGTTCCGAAATTTAAACCCCTAGGGATTCTGGGACATTATGAGGTTGAAGCTCAAGATGACATCGACGTTTGAAACTGGCTGTACTTTACTTTTGTGATATAACAGCATAAAGATTCTACCATTTGCTAACCTATGCACGTTTATCTTTCCAGGCTCCAACCCAGCAAAGAAATGCCCTTTCCCGAACTCTACACCTCCTCCTGAACTCTCCGACCAATCTCAAGTAGCACTTGGTGGAGTGAGTACTTGCATGCACGAAAAGGCGTTGAGTTGAGTTCCGAGTTGCAGTTTGTTATCTCATTGCATCAGTGCCACACACGTTGAGTTTGCAACACATGAAGAGCATGAACATTCATCTCCGTCAAACTGTATTTCGGTCATGGTTCGACATTGGAAATTGATTACATATCTGGTGTTGAAATTACATTAGAACCAGCATTGTCTTCTGAGATTTGTACAAATTTTGGAAATCCAAAATCGAAATTTTTATTTTTTTTTCAATGGACAAATTCACACCAGGTGTGACATTGTTGATCGTTTTTGAAATTGTTACATTTTTCACTCATTCATTTGTGGTATTAATTGTTCAGTATTAATATCATTAATTCATTGATGCTCATGTCACTCTTTATTTGTTTGATATTACAAGTTTACTCATTGTTATTTTAATGTTTCATTTTTAAATTGTGGCTCTTGCAAATTTAACATTTGTGCAGTATGTACATGTATATACATATATTTTTAATTACCTGGAATGCAGCTAGTACGGAAAGACATTTGTATAACTGTCTCACGGTACCGTAGTCAAAGTTTTCCAAATGTAAATTCCTCTCTCAGCCTAAAATATTACACCCCATGTTTCTTGTGTACGGTATGCACCCTGTTCATGTACATGTATTTGTATTCCTTACAGTCTGTAGAAATATAATGATATTGATCCTACATGTAAGTTTAGATGCTGCCCTCTAGTGTCTGGTGGCAGTAGAGGAAACTGTACACTCGCACATGTCATGACCAAACAGCGGGTTAAGTACAGCTGCTTGATATCTGGGGCCCATGTAAGCTACATGTAGGCTAAACAGCCACATAATTCCACGTCGTCTATAAATTCAGTATGTGGTGTTTGTGGGGATTAAATGTAACATTCCAAGACCTTTCAAAATCTACCAGGAGGTGCTCTAGGATTTTGGAAGATGGAGGAAGGTGGAGACCTGTCAAGAATGACTGCAGCATCTTGTAGGGCATAGTCAGTGAGGTTCTGAAAAGGACAGTTGGATGGAACTTTCCAGACAGTATGCTGTGTCCTCGCTCAGAAGGTTGAAGGTTCAACAGTATGTTGGCTTTGAATGGACAGAAACGGGGAAAGGGGAGGATGTTAGGACCTGAAGAAGCCTGGGGAAGCTTCTTATCCCAGAACCGTGTACAACTCACAAATGAATCACCTACATGTTGCTCCCACAAACCTTGTGACTGATGACAAAGGCATTGGCAGTCAGGGTTAGCTGAATGCTAAGTGATGTAAAAGACCCATAGTGCAAAACAGAAATGCAGCCACCTTGAATTTTTATCCCTTTTATGCCAGTAGGAACTGAGGCATTACTTCAGCAAATTTACTGTATATTGGTGGAAGGGAATGTTCCTGAAAATTTGATGTATATCAAATTTCTCTTCTGGAGAGTTTCAGCTTTCCCAGAGCTTTTATTACAGGGTGTGCCTTCAGTGGTTTGCTTGGAATTGAGTTCTGTTTTTCATACAATCAAGTACCCACTGATTTGCAGTGATATTAAAAATCTCAGGCAAGAAGCAGAGCATTTTGACAGCAAGGAATTGCTGCCCGTCTACACTCGACAGAGTGAAGTAAACCAGATGCTATTTTAGGAAGCCATTTTTGGAATTCACAAAGGTCTAAGCTAACACAGCCGGAAAGTAAAAATGGGCACCTGGCATTTTGAGTTGGGTATTGAGCACCTGCTTCTCCCAGTCATCCTTCACTTAGACAGTCAAGAGTCATGTTGTTTAGTGCATGACGCATGTACATAGGGATGGACAGTAGTATGATACCATTTGCACATGGTAATTGCTTGGGTCACCGGTGTAACCATGCTGCAGGTCAGTCTAAATGGTCCATCAACATCTTACAATCTCCTAGCATATCGTATGATAAATCGGGCAGAAGTTGGTGTTGATGGTGAAGTGAATGTTTAAATGACAGATTCATGCAGGTGAGCTCCCAGTCAATTTCTCAACGAGTGACATTTCCGTCTTTTATTCGTGTTTGTTTTCATCAGATGCTGCAACTTTTGAAAGAGGAAAGTAGAGTTCAAATGTGGTACTTTTAATCTAGTACTCAATCTTTGTGTTCAGCGAGCGTGTTACTGTTTTCCTTTCTTCAACAAACCAGTAGCTTTACTTTTCCCATAAAACAATAAATAAAAACCTGCCAATTATTTGTGTTTTAATCAACGAACAGGCAGAGAAGTACATACTTGTAAATATACAAATCTATATTTAGTCCTACGTTAAAAATTGTTCCAAGCTCACTGGCTAAATACTCAAAGACAAAAGCGATTGCTTCATATTTAGCTGGATATTAGTCAATAAATAAGTACGTGAAGAGAAAACACAGAAAAACAGTTACTATGTACAGTATAAGGATAATCTCTGTATAAATGGCTATTGTGCCTTCTTAACAATAAATAGGTCCGTTATACCTCTCCTTAGAAAACAGCTGTGGTGGTTATCTGTCCCCTCTACCCCAGTAAAAGTGATTGTTAGGAAGGAAATTAGAGTTGGAATAAACAGACTTCTGGTTTACAGTGTAAGACACCGTAAGTTTCTTATTCTGCCACATTTTCTGGTAAAGTCTATGCTCAGTGCTTTTGTTTGTGTTAGATGTGAGTTGGGATCAGTGGACTTCTCGAGGCGGCAGAAACGGTATATACATGCATGTGTACCCCCTAGCCTGGCAAAGAAAGATTGGCTATGCCACAGCACTGAGTTACACTAATCATACCTTCACCAGATTCTGTCATTTATGCAGCACCTTATGGAGTCAGGAAAGAGGTCACTTCATCATATAAAACAAGGTGTTTAATCTGGGCTTAACTGAACACATTGACAAAGTGATAGCATTTCATTTTGTTTGAACCATGAAAAAGCCATCTTTCATGTAGCACACAGTGTACAATTAACTACGTTCAGACAGTAAAGTTCTAAAGACAACATGAACAAAAATAAATTGGAACTAACAAATTTGGAGCAAATATATGTGGTTGTAATTTGCACTCAGTAAGTATTTGGCCTGCACTTTTTTTATAGATAGGTTGATCAAAAAAATCAGGTACACATTGCATAGGCCTGTACGTTTACACACAAAACATATATGTGTGTTGACTTGATGAGAAGATGAAAACGATGCTAGCTCAGACCAGTCTGGGGACTTGTCTACCAGTCTTTCAATTTTAGGCCACTGATGGGTGGTTTAGATTTCTGGCAAAATTAAGGGGGGCGGGGCTTTTTCACTAGAATGGGATGGCAGCACAGCATCATCCCACAATTTTGTAGAGACAGACATTCTGTTATGTGTTGCAAACATTTGTTGGCTGCACATCTGTTGCCTCATCTGCTTGAGTTTCTGTGTTTTGTGTAAGGCGCCCTCACATGTTGATTCTGCAGCAGACCCAAGACCATCCTCAAGTACATGTACTTGGTGGTTCTGCAGAACCTAGTTCTCACAGGAGATTAGAGAGAATCATTAAGTCGGTATTTAAGGGTTTTGGGTAAAGCGAACAATGAAGATGTGTGAGTTGACTCAGCGGTTGGCCTATTGGATTGCATGTAAAACTAAGAGTTTATATTTACAAAGGTTTCATTAACACATTGCAATGAGTTCTGTAACTATAATGTAGCCATGAGTGAAATCACTGTGTGATTTGGTGGATGAGGTGGTCACATTCTGTGTGAATATCAAGGCGGCCATCTTGGTCTTATTCCTCGACTGTACATGTGTTTCCATCATAAGTGAAGTTGATAACTTAGGAACCAGCCCTTTCTTGTGTGATCTCATACAGGAATTCTAGACCCAGTGGCTTGAGTGTGTGGTGCACAGTACGCTTGGCCAGTTTTCGTCAGAATGTCTACAACCAGAAGTGTTTTGCTGTGGTTGCCTGGTATATGGCGGCAGTGTTGTTGAAGTGTCTGTTTCTGTCGCTCACTTTGTTGATGTCGAGGGGATCATTTGTACACGCAGTCCATTGGTCCACATATATTATTGAGACACCAAATTTCTTGCAGTGCAGACAGTATTGTTTGCTATCTGGTACATTGCCGTCTGGTCTCTAAAATAAACCCAAATGATAGCTGTCTCCATGAGCTGTTCTGAAGGCACCAGCCGATGACATGAGCCATGCTGTTGGGTCTGTATGGAAGATATTCAAAATGGCAGCCCCCTTGCCTTGGGTTTGATTGTTACAGTCACTGTGTTGATTCACACATTTTCTAGTCATTCAATTGCATTGAAGTACGAGTCCTGCATTGAATACAACTTGTCGATCGGATTGCTGATGGAGATACTATGATGCACCAGGCCGTTCCCCTCACACTCGCTCCCACTACTGTGAAGAGAGGTTCCCTGACTCGTCGACACCAGGTCATCATCAATACCGCTGTCTATGGGTGGGGGGCCGTCTGCCAAGAACATGTGATCGTGGGTGTACATAGGGGAGGTGGAAGCCATCCCCTGTGGTGGGGGGACGGAGAGGGACATGGAGGACTCCGGGTACGGTGGAGGGTCTGCCGTGGGTGGCGTCATGTGCGGTGTCACGCTGTGGCCCATGTCGAATTCGTGGTTGCTAAGATCGTCAAAGGAGAAATCATCATCGTCATCGTCCATCTTGACGCATGTACTGTCATCACTATCAGAATCTGTAAGACAAGAAACTGCATGAGGCATCACAGCAACTGAAAACCCAGCATTTAGAATCCTTCATTCCAGACAACCTTGGTTAAAAAGTAAGGTTTCATCAGTTAAAACGAATGCTGTAGCATTGGTTATATTGTTCAAGCAGTTGCAGTTGCATAAACGTTTGATCAAAATGCAGCCCGTAGAGGTACATGTACTGAAATGACATGGGGTTTGTATCCCACTGCTGCCAGCTTTTCATGCAATAATGGATAGGTAGGTAAAGAGCATCCTCATGCAAGGGCAAAGAAAGTTTTATGATGTATTATTTGCTGATGTCTCACCATCATTCTTGTCCTTGTTCCTACGGTGCCTGTTCTGACCACTTCGCCTCTGAGCTGCCGCCTCTTGCTCTGTCATATTCTTCCTGGCCAGTTTTTTCATCTGTGGAGAAAAGCCAATTTGCAAGATGTCTTTACCACTGAGAAGAACAAGGAGGACTTTGAGGTCATAATTTTCTCTTTAATCTTGGGAACAGTGAGAGAGTACGAAAATTTGATAGACATATTTCTTTCAGGAAAGTCTTAAACTTCAATAGATAAGAGTCTTGCCACAGCTGGCCAAAGTTTGTAGTCCTCAGAAGATAGTGACTTGAAGGCTTTGATACTTTCACAGAATTTGTCATCTCTAACTTGCACTCTCTTACCAAAAGCCAAAAATACTGGTACTTCCTTCCTAAAATGTTTAGCCAATAACTTTTTCAAATGTCTCAAGCTAAAAAATTCTCAAGGAAATAATGCACCACTTTAGTCACCATGGAATTGCCAGCCTGGTTTGGGATCATGTAATATAATTTATCACAAATGTAGGATTTTCTGTTTAAGTTAGAAATCAACAGTTTCCAGGGGTGCATATAGCACAGATATTGTGGAGAAACATCCAAGGAAGGAGAAAGTCACATGGCCGATTCCTAAACAAGGCAGGCGTCCAGACAGCAATGTGGTGTGGAGATATTGTCTTTGAAACAGGGTTTCGTTGGCAAAATACTGTTTTGTTGCAGCCAGTGATTAGGTTTTGTTTCAAAACATGGCATATACTGCGCCGGCATCTAGTGGGGAGCCCCATCAAGGGGGAGGGGCACTTGAAAATGGGGGAGGGAGATTTGAAGCATCTTACATGTTCATGTAGAGGCAGCGCTTTGGTTTGAAATGCAGAACTGGTCTTTGGTTCCGGGTGCTGATTGGCTGTTCTGAACTGTAACTTGGCTCTCCTTTTCAGCAGTTTGGTATTTAATGACCAAATGTCAAATTCATTGTTGAGCTAGCTTGATAAGGCATGAGTTAGAAGCTTCTATTTTGACTTGGTCGAGGTGTTGACTTGCTGTGTGTCCTCTTGTGAGCTTGATTCATACTGCATGGCACCACCACAATATCGACTGGCAACCTGCCTCATTTCTTTTGTTTCTTATCCTTTGGTTTTCTTTTCTTTTTTTCTTTTTCTGGTTAAAAGCATGAATTAAGTTGTGGAAAATTACTTTTTGTATTCAGGATGTCTCCTGTCTCTCCTCTCACCTTAGCTCTTTGGTTCTGGAACCAGACTTGAACCACACGGACACTCAGTCCTGTCTCAGCAGCTAGGGACTCTCGCACCTTGGAAAATGGAAGAAAGTAAGAATGATTTGAATATACATTCATTTTACACCATTCTGTAAAGTTTCGTTCACTGTTACAATCCATGTAAAACATGACTGAGGTCAAGTTTGATGTGGATAAACCAGGCACTCTGGTGGAAGTATGTAGGTACTTGTCCAGAACACTCAAGGCTCTGTAGATGTGTTTGCTGCCCTCTATTGTCTCAGTCAAAAGGGAAACTTGTAACATTTCAAGAAATGTTTTTGTTTACAACACCACTTGAGAAATTCGAAACTGTTTGCCACAGGAAAAGAAAAGGTTGCAGAGGTTGGTTGTGTTTCTTGTGTAGCTGAAGGCTGTTTCGTTGATAGCCTGCTTTTTCAGCCATGTGTATCAGACTCGGTCGCAGAGAATCATAGACCACAGGCAAATAGGTAGGTAGTCTTACCTTTCGACAAGGTTTGGAGGAGACTTCGAAGGATGCCTTGAAGGCTCGTCTCTGCTGAGTGGTCAAGATTGTTCGAGGTCTCTTGGGCCCTTTCCGCCCATCTGAAGTCTCTTTACGTGACACTACAAGAAGCAAAAATGTCAAGGAATTAAATAGACTTGAAGTATACATGCACGTGCAGCTGCTCTTTGACTTAATTGTTAAACATTTTTTTTCAATAATAGCTAGCTTTAAATTCTTGTGGCAGGGAGTTTACTGTTGTCTGATTTCCATGTGTGTTACTGTGACTGTGCTAATACATGCATGCATGCAGCAGCAGGTGTGACCCGATGACTTTTGTCCTTGGTAATTTCATGCTTTTAATTCCTCGTAAAAATCCATTCAGAACTCTGTCAACGATTCTGATTGGTGGAATGATTCTTTTTGAAGAAGAGTCTGCTTTTTCTTGGATCCTGTCATGTTTGGTGAGGCTACTTAGCATGGAACATAACCACTTAGTGGGGTACTGGCCAAAATTTGCCACTGTGTTATGTATGCTGGTCAGTGATTCCCAGCTTATTTTTACCAAGTAAAAAATTATGCTAAGTAAAATTATCTGCTTAGCCTGAACTTGGCCGTCCTAAGCATCCGTGGGTTAATCATTAGTAAAATGGATTCACAAACCAAAGTGTGCTGGGTAATGATGCCATTGTGCCAAGAGAGCATCTATTTTTTGCTTGATTCGATTTGTTGTATCGAAGCAAGAATTGCCGTCGTACCTGGCAGCATACCTTTCTGTTCAATGGTACTCTGCTCCTTGGTGTAGTCGTCCTTGCAGTAGAGCCGGTTCTCTTTCAGCACAAACTCATCACCCTTCTTTAGTTGCTGCCGGCAGATGACACAAGTGAAGCATCTCAGATGGTAGACGTTGCTCAGCGCCCGCATCACCAGCTCGCTGGATGGGATGGACTGCAGACAGCTATTGCACTTTGTTCCAAACAACCTGCGGGGGAGAGCAAACGAGGAAGGGACAAATAAGAACAGACGATTGGGGGGATGTCTGGTTGTGGTGATTTTCATTAAGAACAAATTCTTTGGTTCGCTAACTGCGGTTGGAGATGCAAGCATTGACTCGGTATGCTGTTGTATCGTGTCAGCTTTGGTTGTCCCTTGAGTTAATGTTGGCTGGAGTCTCTCATAAAGTCCCTAATGTCAGTCTGCATCATCATTAGGAGTACTTTCTGGCAAGGTTGTCAGTTGTGATGGAGGCCTGTACTTGGAATTCCCATTGGGGAGCCCAATCATCTTGTATCCAGTTCCTCTTGTTTACCCTCTCTGATAATCGAGTTCATTTCAATTCCCTGTACATCACTCGCATTGTTTATTGTAGCACTGGATAAAATTGCCATCCACGTATCTGACTTTGCTGGAAAAAATACTGAAATGTTAGTAGTTAACCAAAGCTGCCCCCAACCACGCTGCCGTGATTTTACCTACAGCAGACTCGCGTGAACTTGTGTTTATATAGAAATTTTGAACAAATATTTTGCATCATGGGAATTTTTATTTTTTTAATGTATGAACACTGGATTGTAAAAGTACAGAAGTACTGATGACAGAAACATTGAAAGTATTTCATGCATTGCTACCTACATGTAAATGCTAAATTTTTAATTTCCTTATAATTAATACAATACAGGGACATGTAAGCTTCATTTTCCATGGAATGTCGCACAGAAAACAAAAGATTTGTCACATGGCAAATCATAGCCAATTTTAACCCCCGCGCCAACCAAGAAAAAAACATTCACATTTATCTCTAAACCAAGAGGATTTTCAGTTCCCTCGCCCCCTCTCTCCCTCCAGCCGAAAAAAGACATATGGAAAGCTGGATGTTTCAAACAATGCCAGCGTAGCATTCAGGCTAGCCAGAGGGGAGGAAGGGCCACCCAACACCGGCTTATAGCCGTCATTTACTCATGGGCCTTCAGGATGTCTTGATCGTGAGCATGAATACATCAAGAGAGGCCAGCTACACATTCATGGAGGCATGGCCAAGCACCGGCCTGAAACAAAGATGGGGACTGTTTCCATTTTTTTTTTTTTTTTTTTTTTTGAGGTGAACTGATTTTTTTTCCACTTGTCAGTATTTTATATGTCAATCTATCAAGAGCATTGCCACTAGAAACATTGAACTTTGGAAGTGCTTCTAAAAAGATGACATTATATTTCATTTGAAGCAGAGAAAACTCGAATAGGATTCAAAATTAAGCATGCTACATAGTGTGTAGTCAAATCCATTTTGATTTTTGATTTTAATGCTTCAAAGTGATACAGTAACAGACAATGGAAAAATGATTCTCGTGATCTGTATTCAAACAGTTCACTGAGGTGATTTAAAAATAGCCTCAGCTAAAGCTGGTCAAACTGAACATCCTTTTTCTCGCTTCCTCAGGCCTTAAGATTTTTGTTCATGCAGCAACGGCTCAACAAAAAGCCATGCTACATTCTTCTTGCCCTACTTAAACAGCCTGAATTTTTCATTGTTCCCCCGTAAGTGATATCCAAATAGAGCATACATGTGAAAAAAGAGTGTGGTTAAACACTGTCGTTCTGCCTTCATAGTGATGGGAAGATTTTATAAATCCCCTCACCGGGACGTCATTCAGACCCCTGCCTTGAGAACCTCTGTGTCCACTTCCTGTAGGATCAGTGGAGGCTATCAAGACACGGCGGTCACGTGGCAGGGTACAATGTCTTAAATCCCTGTGATTAGCACCATTCATGGCATCGGCCGGCTAGCAGGGCTGAGCCATTGTTCATGCAATTAGGCTGGCATTGTGAAACCAGCGGTCCTGCCGCTTCATTCTCCCGTCGAGCAATCACTCTCTGGACCGTTCTGTTTTCTCTGGCTTTCTTTATTGGCGGTGTCGGAAAAGGCTGCACGCTTGAATTAGCATTCACGGCGGGTTCAGTGTCTTATGACATGGCCGGCCAAATTGCCAAGATGTAGGGGTTGGAGCCCTTGCCAGTGCACAGGGGCATTGTAAAACCGCAACACTGACATAACCCAGCGCAAATTAGTAATTAAGCATCTTTTGATTATAGGCCCCTTCTCTTGTTGTCAAACAAGCATGATGGGATGTAGGTTTGTCTTGCTTTCATTCTCGCCGCCATGGCAACACTTGATGCACATCATGCCAGAGAGCAAGTCTTGGGAACAATTGTTCAATTAGGGGAAGTCACCACTGGATTTATAACATTGTGCTGCTTCATATTGATTGGGGGGTGCTTTTTTATCCAAACCTCAATTATCTATTGCAGGAATCCTGTATCCAGCTTTACCAGTGATTGGTTGTAAATTGGCCAATTATTACCAAAAAGAAACGTTCTATCTGGGTTCACTCCGCTGGATGACAACAAATTTACAGTGAATCATCCCCTTGTCACAATGCATTAATAAGGTTTAGTTATATCATTGTATACTGCCAAAAGTAGGCTTGTATTTTTGGTCAAACTTAAAAGCTGTCAGGTGTTGAAGTATTCACCTGGTGAAAAAAGACGAGGGAGTTATGTGGGTATTTTGTTGGGGTGAAGATTTGTCAGCAAGCATAGTGCAGTGTTTTTAATAAAGAAGTTTCAGCAATAAAACACTGATGCATGCATACAGCCTCGTCAATTCGATATATCTTGTCTGAAATATATTTGGGCCAGAAAAAATACACAATTTGGAAAGAAATTTGATGGGCTGTCCAGTAATTGCACAGGTTTTTTCATTGTTGAGATTCTTCCCATAAACTGTAAGGATAAAGTGAATCTGCTGCGAATTGTGCAAGACACTGTCAACTTGCACTAATCTTTTTGCTAGAATTTATTCACTTTAAGAGGTTGTGTAACAGTGAAGAATCATAGGCAGAAAAAGTTGTGGTGTTCCGAATTATAAAAATCGTTGTTTTTCATCCCACTGTCAGCTGACAGCTTGTCAAGATTGGGATGTTTTTCCAGCAGAGATGGAAAAAAAACTTGCTAATAATTACACTTGGTGGCATGGCACTTCTCTTTTTCCCCCCTTCATCACTTGCTGAACACCTTACATGTGGCAGGAAATGACACAGAGGTCGTTGTCACGGCAACACATCTTTCTCCCTGTGCTTTGCCGAACCCCCTCCCCCTCAAAGGTATCGGCAATATTGCCATGCTAATAACATGCGCTTGGGAATTTATGGGCAGTGCTTGGAGAAGAGACTGCTCAAATAGTAAAAAAAAAATTGTGGTGTTAAAGGCAACAGAACACGAGGCAAGGTGCTAAAATTGGCAATAAGGAATGTAATTTAGTCTATCGGCTGAGTAGTTTGCTGTGTTCCATGAATGTAGGGGCACTTGTTATTTGAAATTTCTTGGCGGAGAAAGATGATATTCCTAGATGCTTCTTTAATCACAGTTCTTCTGAGTATTTTTTTGATCAAAACATTTGCCCAGTGGTTGAAGTTGCTGTTTGAAATTGGAGAAAGGTTTCTGAGGGTTTATTGATTTGGTTGCTTTGTGGATTTCAGTGTTTGCCATTGGACTTTCTATTGTATCTATTACCTCTCTAGATAATCGTATTTTAAGCCGGTTTTCACCCATTTGTATTTTTTGTTCCATTTCTTCTGTAGTTCTGATTGTTATGAAAACGAGTGCTTGCCTTAGACCCACTGATGTTCCCTCAGTTTGCTGACAAACTCAATTCTATCAGCTTAAAAGGATATGATTAGCCCACCAATTGATTTGGCTATAATGTGTGGATGGCATGGGTTGATTGATCGCTCAGGCGTCTCGGCAGTACAGGTTCTACTGCTTTGATAAGTGGTAACCGTCAAGTTCCCTGTTCCCCAGCCTTACATCTTCTCGATCCGCTACTGGACTTGGTCATAGCAACCCATTGGCTTCTCTTTGTTTCTGCTGATCTGTCTCTCATCTTAGTGGCTGCTTTGTTGTACAGCGACTGGCCGCGTTGACAAAAGATACGACATGACATTGAAATGATCAGTAGAATAATACCACTTCCTGTGTGTTATTCTTAGCCTACATCGTAGTTTTCAGTGCTGACGTAAAACTCATAAGAAATTTACTGTTATGCCTGTCGGCTACTCTTACATGTAATTAAATAGAATACCTCCCCCCCCAATAAAATACACAGTTGGCAAGCATGCATGGAAGCCTTTTGAGATTCTACAGTTTGTGGTTGCTCAGATTCCTACATAACTATCCAGAGGAAATATCTCGTTTGATTTATGCGGCCTCACGCTCTGTACATTGAGGCACAGGCCTGCGTTGCCTCCTCATCTATCTTAATTAATCCTGTGTTGTGTGGTCGACCGCGGCGGGCAGTAAGAACCCAGAACCCACAGCAATACCCCCCCACACACTCATACACACACCGACCGCACACGTATGCAACACGTGTCTATTGTGTACCAGATTCTTCCCCTATGAAATCACACATCCGATCGACGAGGCGGCGGCAGAGGGGGGGTTTCTGGATGCTCTGCAACTCAATAGTCCGCAGATCCGCACGGCGGACTTAACACAACAAACCACCCCCGCCAACCAGGTGTGAGGGTGAAGTCCACTATTCCAACGCCTCGACAGAGAGGGGCACTCGGCAGTGAACAACTGAAGGGGGGGGGGAGAAATTGAAAAAGCGGCTGGGGAGAGTATCGGCCAATCAGAAACCGGTGCGGCGCTCTCAAGGTGTGATCCAAGAGAGCTAGCTGGGGGAACTGAAAACACAACCAAGGCGCTACGCGTTTGTCGTGGAGAGCTCTGAAGCGTTGCATCTGGACAAGCTGGTATAACACTAGCACTATTATGAAACACTTAGCTGCTCTTAACTGCCTCTTGCAAAGGCAGGACGGAATCTTACTACCCCATTAAGAAAATGTGTACCAACCACTCAGAGCCAGACCAAAGATTTAGATGTAATGCATATACCTGTATATATGAAAAAAAAATCACTCATTT